GCATCGGCCTAGGTCAGCCTAATGATTGTTCAGGTTGATTCCTGTTCTGAGCCTGCTGTGGTTCATTTTTAGGGTTTATTAGGTGTTGATAAATCAGGATTGCTTTTTTTTTTTTTTTAACTGAAACTTGTGCTCTTGATTAGAGGTCTAAATTGTTATTTTTGAAAAAAGGGTATAAAATAACCTTAGCACTTTCTTTTAAAATGACCAAAGTGGAATTGAGTTGCTTTTTGACTTTGTCTAATGGAGAAGAGTACAGTGCTCCTTCCTTTCTGTCTGTGGTTCATGGGCTCGTGAAAGAACAGAGTTCCCCAGGTTGGCATGTAGACTCTTGGGAAATAAAGCATCACCTCTTCCCCTGTCCCAGGCTCCAGGGCAGATGGGGAGCCCGAAAGGGAGCCCTATGCCCTACGCACGAGGGCTCTGGTGTCCCACGTGCCCTCGATGGCCACACCCCAGGCAGTGTGCTCCTGCTCCCAGGACCCAAGTTTGTAGAGCAGCTCATAGATATATCACACATCTATGGTACCTTTTAATCTTACAAGCTGTCTTCATTAAAAACTGAAGAAACAATATTTGTATATCTGTAAGATATTTGAAGTCAGGATTATCTACAAAAACCAGAATCTAGTGGACCCCTGGTGGATTAGAAGCTTAACGTTATTAATAAAATGCCTTTTTTTTTTTTAAAGATTCTATTTATTTATTTGACAGACAGAGATCACAAGTAGGCAGAGAGGCAGGCAGAGAGAGAGGAGGAAGCAGGCTCCCTGCTGAGCAGAGAGCCCGATGCAGGGCTTGATCCCAGGACCCTGGGATCATGACCTGAGCCCAAGGCAGAGGCTTTAACCCACTGAGCCACCCAGGCGCCCCTAATAAAATGCCTTTAACTGAGTACCTGCTACGTGTCTCACATGGTCTACACACTTCACATGTGCTAATCCAGTTGTCATGGTACGCACTGGGCCCCTACTGGGCACCAAGTGAAATGTGGCCTCTTTATGTCAGGCAAGGACAGGCTGGTAAGAACTACAGTTGTAGTCGAACCTCTGTTGTGCAGAGTAGATAGTGGAGTCATTAACTGATTTTGGTTTTGAAAATGAAGAACAAGCTTGGCTTCCATATTATGAAACGCGTCACTTGCAGCGGTAATCACTTGTGGTTGGGGAGGCCGGTGTCTTCCTGGTTGGGTTGTGGTTTTGTTTAAATGAAGAGGCTTTTAAAGGAAGCCCTAGAAAGCCCGAGTTCCCCACTTGCTGGGGCTCAGGAAATGGGTCAATCAGCCAGCATCCATTGTCCTGACCCGATTGTTTAAGATAGAATTTCAAGACAATCAGAAAACACATGGTTCAATGACATGGTTATTCAGCGTGAGGCTTGCTCTTATCAAGGCTTCCTTCAGGAGCTACCGTGGGAAGAACAGTTCAGCAACTTCCATGAAATTCCTCTTCATGACGTTGTCGTTGGGTTTCAAACCCTTTTATACAGCAGAGATGCATGTGCGGAGGAAAATGGGTCTCTTTGTCAGCTGGCTGCACGACGGTGCTGGGAGGCCCCATTAATCACGGTCAAGTTAGTAAGTCCCACCGCTACGCACGCTTGGGCCAGCTGCGCAGAGCTGCTCAGGCAAGGGCCGCATGCAGATCAGTTCACGGTCCTTTCATGTGCCAGCTCTTGTCTGAAATCACCTTTGGCTTTTTCCATCCAGAGTCATGGCGTGATGAGCTCTTAGTTTTGGCGGTTCTGAGGGACAGCCCTATTCCACGGGTGCGGCCTCAGTGACGGGCTTGGGTTCCGTGGGACCTATATTCTGAGTGTGACATGCAGAGCACATCCTGAAGTTCCCCGAGAACCCATCCTCTAGCCACTGACAGCCTGGCCCTTCCTTTGCCGGCTTCCCGAAGGGAAAGTCCTTCTGTGCTGCACCCCAGGACGCTGACTCACCATCTACGGGTGTGGCTAGGACAGGCCAGCACCTCCCACTAAGAGCCACACAGAGTGATTCTGTCGTATCTTAAAAAAATAAAATAAAATAAAATTATGGCCCACCTGAAATTCTTAGAGAAAGATTAAACAATAAGTCTGACATTTTAAACGCAGTGTGGTTTAAGTACTAAGGAACACGTTTGTTGTCTTTTGATAACTTTTGGCATTACTCAGAAAACGCATCCCTGCTTCTGATGACATTTTGGTTGGAAAGGGCAAGGTGGAGGCGGTGAGGTGGGTGGGGTTGTGAAAGGGACAGAATTGAGTTTTCTTCCACTGCTGCCAATCCCAGGGATCTGTGGTATTCATATTTGAGATTTCCCTGCCCCTGACTGTGGGAGGCTAGAGGTGTGTCTGGAGCTCCCTAGGGAGGATGAGGGGCCAAGTGCACGCTTGCGTCCTGGAGCCTCCCCCTCCTTTGTGATTGAGCTTCCTGCGGCTGGGCTGTGCCTGTCTGGTTCCTTGAAGCTTGATTCTCAGGCTCCAGTCAGCTCTGTACTCACCCCTTGCTTGCTGCCCATTCCCAAATCTGGATCTCTGGCCCCATCTGACATGGGGTGCTGCTTTTCCAGTTATCTGGGACTTGTTCCTCACCGCGTGGACCCCAGGTCAGAGGCTCCGTCCCGTGCAGACCACAGGGCCTCGCTCAGCCCTGCTGGAATCCTGGTTTGCCTCTGATCCAGGTCCCCAAGGGGTCTCGCGTGTCCACGTTACAATGCGAGGAGCCCTGGTCTACGGGATGTCCCCACCCTCGTTCCCTCCTCCTTCCTGCCACCACCAACCCAAGTTAGGCTGTCTGGTAGCACTGGTTTTTTGGTGTTTTTTTGTTTTGTTTTGTTTTGTTTGTTTTATTTATTTATTTATCAGAGAAAGAGCACAAGCAGGGGGAGCAGCAGAGGCAGAGGGAGAAACAGGCTCCCCGCTGAGCAGGGAGCCCAATGCGGTGCTTGATCCCAGGACCCAGGCAAACACTTAACTGACTGAGCCCCCTAGGCGTCCCAGGTAGCACTGTGTTTTCTCATGCTTCATTTTTCATTTTTCTTCCTTGTACTCACTGATTTGTTCAGCTGTGTATTGGCTGCCTCCCAGAGCTGGGTGTTGGGAGATGCAGTGAGCAAAACCACATGTGGTTCCTAGCCCTGTGAAGCTTAGTTTGTCGCAGGAGCCGATATTAGCTACATCATCAGCTGTAACTGTGGAATTACAATGAGCATCGTACAGGACAGCTTGTAAGGCAAATGTAGAGTAGTTAAGAACACCAGGGAAAGCTTTGCTGAGGAAGTGATGCCTGTGCTGGGTCCTGAGTCCTAAATAGGAGCAGAAAGAACTTCCTGGGCAGAAGCAATAGCATGTGCAAAGGCCCAGCGCATCACAGAAAGTTTACAGAGAATTAATCAAAAAGAACATTAAATCGCACCCGAGTCGTTCGTCTTTATCTGTTCTTCCATCCAGCCTCATCAGCCTCATCAGATTTACACCTTGTCCATTCCTGAGGCCGAGGAGCTGGCACAGACCCTGGGCTTTTTTGCCTGCATGCCGCGACCCTGGGCTTGGCTGCACATTTGATCTCTTCTGGTCTTTTTGGTTCCACAAGTACGGTCGCTAGGAAAACCTCTTTCCTCACTGCTCCCTGAACACACCGTGGTCAGATTTTAAACCAACTCCCTCTTCATACATGTGTTATTTTAAGTGAACTTGATATTGAAAAACAGAGTAAAGTACACAGGTTAAGTAAGTACAGAGCTTGACGAAGCTTCTTCAGTAAATACACTGGTATCAGCATTACCCAGATCAATAGATAGAGTGTTATAAGCATTCTGGAAGGCTCCTGTCTCTGTCTCTCTCTCTCTCCCCCTCACACACACACACACCCCATCACTTCATACAGCAGTAACCACACTTCTGTCCTCTATTAACACTGATCCGTTTTGCCCGTTTCTAAACTTTACGTAAACGGGTTCGTGCTATCGGTCACCCGTTGTGTCTGGCTGCTTTTGCTGAACACAACATTAGAAGAAGTCGTTCGTGTTTTGCCTAATGGTAGTTCATTTATTTCCTTTGCTGTATAGTCAGTGTGGTGGGAGTCTACCGTAATTTCCCCATTCCATTGATGGGCGCTGTAGTCTTTTCCAGTTTGGGGCTGTTATAAAAAATTCTCTCCATGTCTTATAGTGGATAAGTCTACATGTTTCTGTTGGGAATTTGCCTAAGACTGGAATTGTGTCACGGAGTATACATTTGTTCATTTCTAGTAAATACTGCCAAATAGTTTTCCAAAACAGTTGTGCTAATATTTATTCGTACCAGCAATGGCTGAAAGTTCCAGTTGCTGTATATTGTGGCCAACACTTGGTTTTTTCAGGTTTCCCTGTGGGCACTCTTGGGGCGGGGGGTCTGTGGTGCTATTACCTTGTGGTTTTAATTTTCATTTCTTTAACAACTAATGCGGTTCCCATTTTCTACCAGATGGCTTGTTTTTTCTCATGTTGATTTGTAGGAGCCGTTGATGTATCTTTTATAGACACATATCGCAAGTATCTCCATGGGTTCTCTTTACTTTTAAATGGTGTCTTTTAATGAATATAAGTTACTTAATGTACCTTCTTTTACCAATACGCATCTTCATATTTTAGGTCTTTTTTTTTTTTTTTTACCACATTTAGTTCCATAAAAGAATGAAAAAAAGGAGTAGAATATACAAATATATATTTGTTTAAAAAATGTAAAAAATTAAAAGCCTGGGAAATATAAATTAGATTTAGGCCAGGGAGATAAGACACACAAATAACCCCTGTCATTCTATTCATGTGTAACAAATGAGCAGTAAATTTTGCTTAGAGACACTTAGAAGTAGAAACTCAAATGGAAGCATGGTGTGTTATCTGGTCCTCATTTCTGTGAGTTCTTCAGTGTGTGAGGGTTAAAGCAGGCAAGGGATGGGTGGACTGTGAGGAGGTCCCATGTAACGGGTAATTTGCATGTCGGAGAGCTGACAGGCATAACTTCTGTTACAGGTTGTTCAGCGATAGTTATGACCTCCCGGTTACGTGCGTTGGGTGGAAGAATTAATAATATACGCACCTCGGAATTACCCAAGGAGAAAACTCGGTCCGAAGTCGTCTGCAGCGTCCGCTTTCTCGATGGCTTGGTACAGACCTTCAAAGCTAACGTAAGTTCTCCAAATTCAATTTTTTCTGAATTCATGCCACTGAGAAATCATTTTTCTTCGTTTTATAAACCAAGAGATTAAAACTATTTTAAAATGAAAGCTTGCGGGGCGCCTGGGTGGCTCAGTGGGTTAAGCGTCCGACTCTTGGTTTTCGGCTCAGGTCATGATCTCAAGGTCCTGGGCTCGAGCTCTGCACTCACAGAGTTTGTTTGTCCCTGTCCCTCTGCTTCTCCCTCTGCTCATGTTCTCTCTCTCATAAATAAATGAAATCTTAAAAAAGTAAAATAAAATGAAAGCGTGAGATCTCAGATGTTCTATGTTGAGACTGGGCTGGAAATAACCCTAAAAACTCTGCCCACGCTCTTGTTCACCTGGAGTGTCTTTCCCCCTCTTCTTGGTGACCTGAACTGAGAGACTCTTTGATGTTACTTCTTCTGTGACATCTTCGTCAGCTTCCCGAATTAATTCTCCCATAATGGTGCCCTGTAGGCCTTATGAGAGCCCATGCCACACTGCACTGATTGTAGTTATAATTCCTAGGTTATATGTTCTTTAACGAGGCCCGTGGCCAGCGCTTATGACATGTGCGAGGGGATGGGTCCAGTTTGGAGGGTGTTGAGACGGTTCCGCTCATAGATGGCAGGGCTCAGGGAGAGCCTGGCTTCTCCCGCCTCAAGCCCAAGACAGAGGCAGGACTGGAAACGTGGCCTCCATCTTTGGCCAGCAGTGAGATGCCTGACCCAGAGCAGTCTGTGCTGCCCTACCCCACTCTACCCCAGTCACTGCTTAGGTCAGTGCCCTCTGCCTGTCTCTCCCATCCTCTGGGTCGGCTGCTGGCATCTGCCTCAGCCTGGAAAGTTCAGTGTGCAAGGAAAGAGAAAGAGAAGACTGGGTACAGGAAATAACTAGGGGTAATAGAAGGCTACAGGACTGGAAAGGGTGACACTAACTGGCCTCTGGGTCTTCCGCACCACCCCTAAGTCTGCCTCCCGCTGACCCCAGCTCACTATGGAACTTGACAGCCGAGAAGACAGGAGGAGAGAGAGGGTGGTTTGCATGAAGTCACAGCATGGCGGGTGCTCAGAAAAGGCCACAGGTGTCTCCTCCAGAGACTGTAAACTACAGTGTGTGTCTGGCTCTCTTGTTGATTTGGGGGCTGTTCCTTTGCTGTTTATCTTCTTCCTGACAAGAACATGAATGTTTCCCCCGCAAATGTTTACTGGGCACCTACTATGTGCCAGGCTTCATGCTGGGCATAATGAATATAGCAGTGAACAAAATAGCAAGGTATCTGGCCTTTCAAGGTTTGTATCCTTGTGTGAAGAAATGGACCATAAAGAAATGAATACTTTGTCAGGTGGTATGTGCTTAGAAGAAAAATAAAGTAGGATGGGGAGGGTAGAGAGGGCTAGAGCAGGACAGGGGCGGGGTTGTCATTCCTACAGAAGTGATCAGGGAAGATCTCATCTAAAGGAAGTGAGAGAGGGGCGCCTAGGTGGCTCAGTCAGTTAAGCAGCTGCCTTCGGCTCAGGTCGTGATCTCAGAGTCCTGGAATTGAGCCCCGCATTGGGCTCCCTGCTCAGCGGGAAGCCTGCTTCTCCCTCTTCCTTTACCTACTGTTCTGCGCACTTGTGCTCTCTCTCTGTCAAATAAATAAATAAAAATCTTAAAAAAAAAAAAATAAAGGAAGTGAGAGAAAGAACCATGTGATTCTCTGGAGGGGAAGCACATTCCAGGTAAAAAATAGCAATGCAAAGGTCCTGAGGCAGGCTCCCATTCAGTGTAGTTGCAGGACAGTATGGATACTAGTATGTCTGGAGTAGGATGAGCAAGGGGGAGAGTAGGAAGAGCAATCAGAGGTCATTGGTATCAGGGTGATCAAAGGGACTGTGGAGAGCCTGTGGGTCATCCTGAGGGCACTGAGTGCTGGCTTTATTCTGAGAGAGGCAGAGAGCTTTGGTAGGTCTGGGCAGAGACCTTACATGATCTGACTCAAGTATCTGGATGCTCTGTCAGTAGTAGACTGTGGAGGGCCAGGGACAAGAGACTATTCGAACAGTCCAGAGGAGAAGAGGAGGTTGGACAGTGTGGTAGTATGTGAAGGTAGCTAAGAGTAAACCAAATCTAAAACTATTTTTGAAGGCGGAGCCTGTGGGGTTTGCTGATAGATGGAATTTGGGATGTGAAAGAGGCCGCACAGTGGCTCTCAAGGTTGTTGGCCGGGGCAGCTGGCAAGATGGAGCTACAGTGGATAGAGATGGGAAAGGCAGGAAGCAGGGCAGGTCTGGGGTTTTGTCAGGGACACATTGAGTTTGAGGTGCATGGTACTCATCCACATGGAGTCGGGGATCGCTGTACAGATGAGGAGGTTCAGGGAAGGGTTGGGGCTGGGATATAGGCGGGGGGCTTACTGGGGTGGAGGTGGTATTTTAACCGACAAAACTGGGTGACATCACCTGAGAAGCGAGGCCACAGGAGGTCTGAACATGATTCCCTATTAAAAGGTTTGAGAGAGCAGGATCAGGCACTCCAGGAGATGGGGACAGACTCTTCTGGGAGGGAAGAGAATCCCAGGTAAGAACTTCATGAAGGAGGTTGGATGAGCCCCGTAAATGGTGATAAGGAAAGCGCCTGCCCAGAATGATGATCCTAGAGCACAGCCCGGTGTTCAGTGGGTGGCCTGTCATTCCTGGTCACGAACACCATTGTTCATGTGTTGCTTCCCCAAACCTCCTGCAGTTGGGTCAAAGCTGACTCACCTTGAACTTGAATCTGAGGGTCTGGTGGCAGCTTAAGTCCCATTCGCTTTAGAGTTTCTACTTGGAGGGGTCTCTGGCACCACCACCTCGTGGGCCGGAGCCGGCCTCATCAGGAAGCTGGCCTGGACATCAGCTGTTCTTAGCCTGGCCCAGGGAACAAGCTGGTCGGGGATGGTGACCTGGTGCAGCCGATATGACCTCCCGTTGACTTCCCGTCAGGTGGGAACTGGGCTGGGAGGCTGTGTCCTTTAGTACATTTCAGTTCCTTTTGGGAACTGGGAAAGTTTAGCAGAATATACTAGAATGGGCAAATAACACACACTACACGGGTGACGCAGCGCGCTGGGGACGTGCAGGCTGTGGCAGCCGGCGGCCCGGAGTCAGGCCGGCTGCCAGGCAGACCGTCCATCACCGGCTGATGGCGTGTGGCGTAGAGCTCCCAGGGCCTCTGCCTGCTGGCGGCCAAGGGGATGCCGGTGAGGACCTCACAAGTCGCCACAGGGATTAGAGAGCGTATGTAAAAGTGCACGTGGTATCGGATCTGGCTTGGTGTAGGTGTTCAATAGTCACTTACCTTTTAAGTATCAAATTCTGTAGAAATTTTAATAAGGAGAACTGGTTGTTGTTTGATGCACCAGGAGAGTATCTCCCAACTTGGAATATGCGGACTGAGCCATCTTCTCCACACTGTAAGGTTCCCCTGAGAAGGAAGCTGTCCTGGGTAGAGGAAGCAGCAGGTGCAGGGCCCTAGGGCAGGCAGGGGGGTGAGTTCAGGAAATGGGCGTGTTTCCTGTTCCCACACTTAGGACCAAACAATACGAGATCCCACCAAAGAGGAGGCTACAGGAGGAGGCCTGACAGCTCCCGAATTCGTCCGTGTGGCCTATTTCCAGGTACATTATCTGCTCTCAAGCACTCAAAAAAGGAGCTGTCTTTGCTTGTTCTGTATAGTCTATTTCTGAGTCTTATTGTCCTTAAGTCAAATGGTTTGCTTCAAAGGATGCCTGAGAAGTCAGCCTGATAAAGGAGAGTTTGTGAGTTCCAGGAGGCACCGTGCTGTCTCTCTCCTTTGTGTCTTTGTGCCAGGCCATCTGCTTAAAATGCCTTTTCTTAATTTCACCTGGAGGGGAGCAGTGACACTCAGCCCTGACGCCCTCCCAGACCAGGTGGGGAGCTGCTTCCACTTGTCCCCAGGTTGAATTACCACCTGTGTCGTCCTCCGTGCGCTTATCATGCCTTGAGTGTCCCAGCATTTGACACACCACGTTCCGGCCACTGTTTCCATGCCTGGCCTCCCTGGGCCACGTCCTGTGGTTCTGTCCCCATGCCCAGCACTGTGCCTGCTCTGTAAAGCCTGGTCACGGTGGCTGAGTCCTGCTCTGGACGTGAAGTGTGGTTGAATGTCTCCACTGGCTTCTCACTCCAGGTGGCGGGGAGCAGAGAGGCAGCTAATCCCCCTGGGTGTCACATACCCAGTCACTCTGAGGGTGTTTAGGATGGCATTTTCATGTTCTTAGCCATCTTCCTTCACTCTGTTAGCGTTTTGTTCCCTGTACACACTTCCGTGGCTCCCGAGGAGCCAAGAAACTGATGTGGGATTAGCATATTGCTGTGGATAATCCATGGGTAGGTCACGGAGAGTTTACTCTCATGGTGAGGTCTCCGTTTTCCAATTCAGATATCACTTGGGAATTCCAGCTAAGGGGAAGCAAGAAGACTTAGAAAATTAACCTTTGCCATCTTAAGTCATATGTATGTGGTTTTTCTTCGTCCTACTTCCCATATGTACCATGTGACAACATGTCATGTTGACGTGACATCTATTAAAGCATTTCTTACCGTGAGGTCAGAGTGTACATAAAATCTCTAAATGTTTTAACTCTTTTTTTGCCCACAATGAAGACTTCTTTTTAAAGATTTATTTACTGGGCACCTGGGTGGCTCAGTGGGTTAAACCTCTGCCTTTGGCTCAGGTCATGATCTCAGGGTCCTGGGATCGAGCCCCACATCGAGCTCTCTGCTCAGCAGGGAGCCTGCTTACCCCCCCTCTCTCTGCCTGCCTCTCTGCTTACTTGTGATCTCTCTCTCTGTCAAATAAATAAATAAAATCGTTTTAAAAAATAAAGATTTATTTACTTATTAGAGAGAGCGTGTGCATGTGTGGGCGAGCAGGGGGAGAAGCAGAGAATCCCCAAGCAGACTTCCCACTGAGTGTGGAGCCTGACGCAGGGCTCAGTCCCAGGACCCTGAGATCAAACCTGAGCCAAAAACAAGAGTTGGCTGCCTAACCGACTGAGCCACCCAGGTGCCCCTGCAATAAAGACGTTTAACCATCTGTTCTTGATTCATTTTAAAATTTTTCCCACTAGACACTTTTTTCTTTCCTTCCCTAGAAACAAGATACCGGTCAAGTTCTTCTGGATATGGTGTACAACCACCTGGGTGTGACTGAAAAGGAGTATTTTGGTTTGCAGCATGGCGATGACTCCGTAGACTCTCTTGTGAGTGCCGTCCCTTTAAGACTTGCTGGACTCCTACATGGTCTGGTTTTATAGCGTATGTTTTCTTACCCGACAGAGATGGCTGGAATCAAGCAAACCCATCAGGAAGCAGTTAAAAGGTGAGTGTGACCTTCGCATTTCGGTTGAACGTGGGGTGTTAGTGTATCACAGCCCATTTCTCTCCTCCAAGCCTCAGCATGCTTGTAACATCTGGGACCTGGGTTCCCGGGGGTCCAGGCAATGTGAGTGAGCCCACTTCTCCCTGAGCTCACCCTCCACATCAGCCCTCACAGCCGGGAGCAGGAAAGGGAAAGGTCAAAGAAGGCAGCCAGGAGCCGAGGAAGCTACTTTCTTCTTACAAGGGAAGGAGGATGGCCTTGCTTTGCCCAGGGAGAGAGCCAGGGTGGGAAATACACATGTGCACACACACATACGCACACACACACATGCTCACACACGCTCACACTCCCTCCCCCTGGAGCCTAAGACCTAGGTAGGTAATATCACAGACGGAACATACTGCTCCCCAGCCATGAGTGGGCCCCAGTGCTGTCCTGTAACTCCCAGTTAGGAGGTGCTTCACAGCATGCCCCCCCCCCCGCCGCCAGTCTGTTCCCAGCCTGGTTTTCTAGCATCACACTCTGTTCCCCTTTATGCACCTTCTGCCCCAGACAAACCTGACTGACCTGAAAGGCTGCAACATACCTCTGTGCCTTCCCTCAGTCTGTTCCTTTTATTTGGAATGCTTTTCCCTCTTCCTTATATCCAAATCTTGCTGTTCTTCTAAGCCACTCAGACTCTTGCCTCTGCTATTAGAAGCCATGCCTCCCCCTACCCTCCCTTACATTTGCCATAACTCCTTCATCTCTTAGTTGCCTGCCTTAATCTTCCTTGGAAACTGTAGGCTCCTTTGGGGAATGGTGCTTGCCACATTTTCTCTGCATCCCTCACCATGCACCCCGTTCACGGGAGGTGACCAGTGAAGGGTAAGTGGCAGGTAGATTTCACGCAAGCAGACGCACACATGTGCCACCTCCCCACACCCGCCCCAGCACCCCAGTGGGAAGGAGTAGAGACGAGGAACCATGGCCGTGATCCCACTGATGCTCTCACCTGGGGCCTGGACCTCCAAGCCCTTACCTCCCTCAGCTTTCAGAACTACCTCCCCATGGGGAGCCGCTGAACCACTGTGCAGATAACTACTGGCCCCCATTTGAATTCTCAGAGCTTTGAGTCCGTAGGCACATGAAGAGGTGTTGTTACTCATTCTCTCACTAACTCCCTCATTCAGGAGATGTGTCCTGAGCTCAGATTTTGGCAGCGCGCTGAGCTGGGCTTTGGGAATCTGGTCCAAATGAGATTTGGACCCTGCCCTCAAGGAGCGGACAGCCAAGGGTAGAGATGTAGGCAAGGAGAGTGACGGTTGTAGGACAGTTCTGAGCACTTTAGATGCTCTGGGCGCACAAAGGCATCCTGAGAGACACACACTGACAAGGTACGGTGAGGAGGGGAGCTGAAGGCAGTGGGAAGACTGAGCTATCCCCTGAAGTGCAGGTGGTCAGACTGTACCACGTTACAGCGCTACCCTCCGGTACCCAGGCCCATGCACAGAGGCACACTCACAGGTGCACACACACCATTCATACCTTTGACCCAAGCCAGAGAGATACTGACAGAAGGTACCAAAGAGAGGCAAGGTGAGGTGGGCAGATCCGTAGCCGATCAGTGAGAGGAGCAGGGTGGAGAAGGCTTGAGTTTCAGAAGCAGCATAGTGCTGAGCACATAGACGGGCCAGCAAACGTTTAGTGAGTAACGGAGAGGGGAGAGGCTGACCTGAAGAGGAGCACGAAATCTTAGCCACACAACCTGATCTGCTCCTGTTGCCATATCCAGCGAAAGAAATGGGCTAATTTTATCTCTATAAGCAAATTGACTCTTGGTATTGTTGCATAAAGCCATATTTGAGTATGTTAATTGTGTAATATTTGCTAATATGTTCATCACTTTGGGAATTCACTTTGCATTAAAAGCATGAACTGTTATCAAAATGATTGCTCTGTGGCATAGAGGGATCAAAACCCACAGTACTTGAGTTCTGGTTTTCTCATCTGCTCTGTGGCTGGAGGCAAGACTCTGTGCCTGTTGGCTTATCTGTAAAACAGTGCCACCAAGAACAGCCTGACCTACTCAGAGTCACGGCGATGTTTAAGTTGAAGAACACATATAAAAGTGTTATGGCAGTGTTTAAATTCAAGAACACACATGAAAATGGAAAAAGTATAAAATGGCTATCTGTGTGACATTATTTATGAGTGTTGTATGATCTGTTGATTTAAGGATTTTTTAAAATTCCTAATACCTGTAACGGAGTGCATTGTTTGAACACAGCCCTAAGTTAAACCTATAGTAGGGAGGGGATAGAGAACCTCATTCTATGCTCGTGTTGCAAAATATTTGACTATTTGCAGACTTGGGAGATTTCTAAACGATTATCTTGTGCACTCCTTTTTTGAAATTAGTCCTTTAATTGATGAAAAAAGCTGTGGTCTAGTGGGGGAAAAAAAAATGCTTCACTAATGGAAGAGTAGCCTCTTACCTGCATTGACTTTTTTAAAGGGAAAACTTAAATTTGTTTTTGAAAAATGTTGTAGGAGGTTTCCCCTGTACTCTGCATTTTCGAGTAAGATTTTTTATACCTGATCCCAACACACTACAGGAAGAACAAACCAGGTAATAACTTTTTTTTTTAAGTTTCCTTTGTAGTATATAAAAATGAGTAACCACTAAAAATATACTCTTTATCTTATCACTGTGGCCGTACATTTCCTTTGGGTATAACCACACCAGTAGTTATGAAACAAGAAAAAATCAGAGGGGTACAGATTGAAATTTTCATCAGGTAATTAGTTCTCTGTCTGGGGTCTACTTACTTCCTTATTTGGTGCCATTTGGAGTTCACTGCCTTCGACCTCCTCCCACCTCTCCCACCTCCCCAACCCCTCCTGCCCATTGAGCCTGCGGGTGCCCAGAGAAAGCACTCATTCATTTGCTAACGCGTGGTTGGGGGGGGGCATTGAGGGGGGGTTTGGAAGACCAGTTTGCTGAGACAGTCGTCCGTCGTCTACACATCAAATACCACGGTATCTCTGTGAGGCTAGAACGGAGGCTCTTCGGGATAAAAAGAAGGTTCTGAACTGGGCATTCTCTATCAAATCCCCAGTTGGTAGAAATAGAAAGGAATGCAAGCTGGGGCAGCATCTCTCCTGGGTGAATCAGTCTGTAGAGGCCAAATGTGAGCCAGATAAGGGAAGGAGAGCCGAGATAGAACTGTTTACCCCTCAGGGCTTGGCGAGGGGCCTGACCCTTGTTTTGTACGAGCACTGTGGGTTTTCTGGGTGGGGAACACGGGTTTGGAATGGAAGAGGCCTGCGCAGGAGGGTTGTTGCTGTTTGAATAGTGACCCTGCCTCCACTTCCACTCCCCCATAGCAACGTTGAGCCCTTTTATTAATAATATGTTTATTTTTCATAGGGAGGGAAACTTGCAGAGGTTTTTGTCTCTACCAGAAAAACAAAAAACAAAAAACGACTTAATGGATGTTCAGCAATATTGACTCCTATTCTGTGTTCATTGTACCCAGAGACCCTCACCAAGAAGGTGACATTAACTCAGGCATTGAGTATGGTTTTTTGTTTTGTTTTGCTTTGTTTTGTTTTTGAAGGTAATCACATGGTGATGTTTTAACTTTTAGGATGTTTGAAGACTAAATATTAGTCTGTTATTCTGTTTTGCTTTCTTTGTGCACCTCTTCCCTCCACAATAACAGACATCGGAGAGTTGACTGTGTTTACTGTTCAGTTGAATTTTAAGCCAGAGTAAGAGATGTCTGGCGGGGCTCATTGGGTCACCATGGGAAGTTCACGTGGTGCTTTGAGTTTTCCCCATAATAGTTCCTCATGCGGTTGGACTGAGGGGTTGGTGCAACAGCTCAGCTCCTGAGCCAGGGGACACAGAGGGGCGGCATAGCTATAGGAACAGGTGTTTGAGATCACCTTACCAAGGTTCCACAAGGCCATTATTAAATACCAAGTTCTGTTGAAGGGATGCTTTGAAAATGTTATGATGGGTTATAAATGTGTGTGTGTATCTGTGTGTGTGTATACACGTGTGTGATTTTAACCTGTGGATTTTAAAATCACAACCACAGAGCAAAAATGCGTTTTGCTTCACAGGGCAGTCCGGAGGGACATCAGGGAAGCAAATGTTTAATAAACCAAGAGCAAGGGCAGACCCCTCTCATGCTCTCTGTTCTTTCCTCTCTCTCTCTCTCTCTTTTTTTTTTTAAGGATTTTATTTATTTATTTCACAGACAGAGATCACAAGTAGGCAGAGAGGCAGACATAGAGAGGGGAGGAAGCAGGCTCCCCGCCGATCAGAGAGCCCAAAGCAGGGCTCAATCTCAGGACCCTGGGATCATGACCTGAGCCGAAGGCAGAGGCTTTAATCCACTGAGCCACCCAGGCACCCCAAGCTCTCTGTTCTCTTAAAATGCCAGTCATTACCCATTAAACATATGAGCAACTGATAGGTTTCAACACCAAGTGTGAACTGCCCTGCCTAAGCTAGTAATTGTCACCTGTGGTTCTGTCCACCCCTTGTGATGCTGGAGCTCCCGGTGTATGGTGGCCAGTGGGCATGGTGGAGTGCAGGGATTGCTAGGGCTGACCTACCCCAAGAGTCTCTCTCCAGGTCATCAGGCATCCACTTCCATACCCCACCGGAGAGAAGCTCACCCTCTCTGGAAGCCGACAGAGTCCCTTTGTTTAGCCTCCCTGTCATTTGAGGGACATCTGAGGAAATGTAGGACATTGGGGATGGAGGGAGGACTAGGGAGAAAACAGTCTGCCTTGAGATCTGTAAGGGCTGTCACGGATAAGGGGAATTAGACATACTTGGTGGTAGAATCATGGCCAGTGGGTGGAGGATGCCAGGAGGCAGATTTGGGCACAAGATGAGTAATTGACAAATTTTTGTTCTTCCCTAAGTCCAAGATAAAATTCAGTTTGTTTGTATCCCTGCTAGAATCCACTGAAACGTGACCCTGCCACCACCCCACCTCCCAACTTAAGATGAGTGGTATCCCCAGGGTTGGAGTAAAATGTGGCTGTCACCTCCTAGGATTTGGGGCACCAGATTTCAATGTAACAGGAGCCATAACAGCAGCCACCCACATGGCTCCGATGGAGCTGGTGGGCAGCCAGGACTGCCAGATCTTTTTCCTATGCTAAGCTAGACTTCCACCATTAATTCACATGTCCTTTTTTTTTTTTTTTAACTTTTTTTTAAAACTTTTTAACTTTTTTTAAAGTTTTGCCTATATCCCTGACACACGGTATTCTATTAAGCCCCAGTTCTGTAGCCTACCCAAAAGTAAGTTCCTCTTAAAGAAATGTAGCTCTCAGTGCCAGAGAAAGTGGTATTTATTGTGTTCTAAAATCCTAGGGAGGCATTCATTGCTTTTTTGTGTGAAGTTGAGTTCACGGATGGGGTACACTCTAGAAGTGACCTTTACATTTCTGAAGTCAGGTCTGCTGACACCTCTTCTGTTTGATTTTTCTTTTATTCTGATGGTTAGACGTCTCCTTGACTGAGAGCCTTCACGACTGCTGTTCCTGATAAGATTACGTCATTGGACACATTTTCATTTACTGGCAGTCTCAAAGGGAATGTCCTTCAGGATTCCCAGGAGATGCCCTACCTTTGGGCCTCCTTCCACTATTACAACCTCCTGGTGTGATGTCATGAGATTGACTCAGACAAGGTAGCTTTTGATGAATGGTAATGTCCAGGTTCCCCTTCACATTTCTGTCCCTAGGAAGATACACGGATTAGCCCGGCTCGTCACTGGAGGGCCAGATTTACCATCGGATTATCTAGCATTCTCTCCCTTCTCTGCTTTCCCCCAGTAGCACTGTAGGAGGAGAGAACACTTAATTCCGGTTGAATGTCAGCTTGGATAAACATAGGAACAAACTAGAAAGGACTGGTGATGTTCTCCTAGGGGAAAAAGATAGTCTCCAATACAGAGTAAGCGTGCATTAGCAACCGTAGGCTACATGGTATCTCAGTGCTGGTCTTCAACACGTTAAGGGTAGTTGATGATGACAACAGGCTACGTAAAAATATCAGAGTTAGGACATTGACCTCAAGCCTGAAGTCATTAGATGCATAAGAAATTTGTAGCATAGTCAGGTTTTTTCATAGCATGGGTGTCCAGGTTAAAATAAGATCTAACTGACCCCATGTAACCTATCTGAACGGGCAGGAGGCTGAAATGAATTCCCCGGACCTAGCCCAGATTTGTGCACAGAGGAGGTAATGCCAAGTGAAGCATTCATGTCTCGGGACACCAGCACCTTGACCTTTGAACTTATGAACATGTAGGACCAAGGAGACCCCATGTGTTTCAGATTGCCAAAATGATCACTGTCCTGCCCCAGAATACTTCTGCATCTGTATCGTATTTCAAGAAGTTTCCCTTTTGTCCCCTCGGCCAGACGCTGGAATGTCTGTCCCATTTGAATCTGGGCTTTAAAAAAGAGTGGGAGCTAGCTGCCAAGTGAGTGGATGTCGCATCCCTAAATATAAAGCTTTCCTTGGTGCTTGGTGGCCGGCGCAGGACTCTCGCTGCTGTCTCTTACCCGTCCCTAGACCGGGGGGAGACTCACAGGGGTGCAGGGCCTGGGATGGGTTCCCGAGCACTGCCCACAAATCAGGTCCTGGGTTTTCACATTGCTGGTAGCTCGCGGGCAAATGCCGAATTCTGCTCAGAGGTCCTGGCAGTTGGTAGCTGACTGATGTTTATGCTTTTGCCCGAGTACCCACAGTTCCCCGGACACGGGAAACAACTCAGCTGGGTGTTTGCACCCAGCCAAGGAAGTGTCCTCACAGACCCATTCCTGTCTGCCGCTTCACGCAGAGGGAATGTGGGTGTGCGCTGCACCGCCGCCCGCCCAGCACCTGGGGGCTTCCTGTGTGTGATGCCCGTGGGGGCCTGGTGCTCTCGGAGGCCCCGAGTTTGATGGGGAATGTCCGGGGTGGGGGAGCCCACTGGCAGCAGCTCTGGCTGATTGTTGGCGGGCTCAGCCATCCTTGGGACGGCATGTGCTGGCGTGAGGCTGGGTGGAAAACAGCAGCCACACAGAACCATTGTTACCAAAGGAGCAGCTTTGCAATGTACAAAAAGCAACCCCAAGACTTCAGACGCAAATGCTTATTTGTGTATTTTGTTTTCCAAATGTACAGATCTTGTCCTTGACTTATCACCTTTTTCTTGTATTTCCAGTATTGTGAATTAATAAAAACAATTGTTTTGTAGGCATTTGTATTTCTTACAACTGAAGATGGATATTTGTGAAGGAAGGTAATGAAAATTTCACATTCTTCTTTCCCTGTCAGTTGCCAGACACTAAAATTCCTGGTTTCAATCTAATGAGTGTGTATTTCTGGAAACAGTATTAAATCTAAACAAAGGATGGTCGTTGAAAGCAGCACCCTGCATGACACTCTGCTCTGGACATCTGTTTTTAACTCAGTCTTGATTTGGAGAAGCTGAGGTTGGAGAAACTTCATTTCATGTTTCGATTTTATTAGCAAAGGTACAGTTATCTTTCTGGTAAAGACCTGAGAAACATTACAGGGAGAATGTGAGACACGCTTCATTCACGAAGGCAGCTCAGGCCTAATTTAGGTCCACTTCCAAGCCCCTTAGTACCTACAGATGATTCATTTTCTCTCTGGGAGGCTTTGTGCTAGAAGACAGGGGCGTCTGCCTGTGAGTCAGCACGACTTGTGTGGCAGGACCATCTCAGTGGCTGGAAGGATCTGAAATGGCTTGGGAAGGGAGGAGATATGCCAAGCCACTTGTCCCTGAGCTACCTCCTCTAAATCCTGACTTTTCCGTGACTTAGGGGAGAACCTGCAGCCGGTGAACTGGTAGAAACAGTCACAGCTTATTCCCGTTCTCCTCATCCCCTTTCCTCCTGGCAGCTGCCCCGAGGAGGGTCTTCAGAAGCCTCTGTGAGGGGCGGGGGGGGCATCTGGTTGGGGCAGTGAGACAGGAGCCCATGAGATGACGGGACCTGTATGGGCTGCGCAGACCCCAGTTGCCACTGAGGGTTTAGAAGGAGGGAGGAGTGCAGGCCCTGCCCTACCCACCTGGTCCCAGGTGAAAAACACATGTTGGAGGTTTACAGCAGAATAAGGGGAGGAGGGGGGCTGTCTTCCTGTCAAAGCCAGACAGGCAGAGAGCTGTTGGAGGTTTTCAAGTAGAAGGCATGTGGCTAGAGCAGCATCTGCAGAGACAGTACCTTCCTGCAAGGACAGGAAGGCTGGAAGAGGCTAGGGTTCTTCATCTGGATGGAAGGGAGATTTGTGGGCACGGCTGTGAAGATCCTGGGGGGTAGAGGAACATTTAGAAACAAGACACATGTTGAAGTCTGGACTGCCCGAACCTGTTGAAAACCTGTTCAGGGCTCCTAGAATTGGAGAAGTTTTGTAATTTAGCGCCTTCTCTTACCCGGAGAAGGAAGGAGCCCCTTCTTTAGCCCAGTTGCAGGCCTTGCTTAAGCACCCCCAGAAATGAGCTCCCCATTTTGTGAGACAGCCTTCTCACATGGGGGGGTGACGCTAGAGTGACATTACTCGCCCCTCTCCCTGGTCCAGGCTGCCCTCTGCAGCCGCAGAAACTTGTCTCTCTCCCCTGAGCGCTAATCTCTTTTCCCAACAAGTATTTCTCAAGCAACTGTTAGGCGATGGGCTCTGTGCTGGTCAAAAAAGGCAAGGCCCTCTCCTCCCAGGAGCTCTCAGTCCAGTGCTCCCCACAGTAGGAATCGGCTGTCTTCATTTTCTTCTTCTCCCAACACGATACTCCCTGTTAGTTTTGGGTAAAACCGGTGGAGGGGCACAACCGGCCTTAAATCCCTGGCATTCTCATCAGGCCTGCTGGTGGCCTTCGCCATCTCTCTCAGGAGAGGGTCTCCTACTACCAGACACTTCCGGGTGCGTCAGGGTGGGTCTGGCCATTAGTAGCTGTGGATCCTTTGACAGACTGGATGAATCTGGTTAGCCTTCTTCCTAGGCGTCCTGGCTGAAACCGTCAGTGGCGGGCGGCTCCCAAGGCATGCCCTCCTTCCTGCTGAGCTAGGTGACATTGGCCATGAGATGGAGACCCTAAAGCCGAGAGGGAAAGAAAGGGGTCTCTCTAGGGGCCACACTGAATGGTCGTGCAGGCTTTCAGCATTCTTTTTTCATTTATATTTACACTATTCTTTGGAAATGTTCTTTTTTGACGTATTCATAAGATTGTTCCATTCATGGGGATGGAACCTCCTTAGCCTGTCTCCTCAGGTGTTCCCCGAGTCCCATTCACCTGCTCTGCCTCTAGCGGGGACCCTAAATTAGGTTTCCTTGAAGCCCATCTTGGTAGGAGAGTGAGTGGCTGGTGTCCGCTCTCCCCACGGGCTCTCTGGGCCTCCAGATGAACAAACAGATGGTGAGTATTGCTGGACATATCTCCAGACTTGGAGAGATCGTTGAGAAGTTCTAGCAGGGAATACCTGGTAACTTCAGGCAAGTTGGGGGGCCCCCTCACATAGGGAAGGCTACCTTCTTGTGCAGTTTCAGGACGGGGCATAGCACCGTAGACAGGAAGGGGAACCCTGCGCTGGCCAGCCTGATGAGTCAGAGACATGGGGGTGACTCACATCTTGGGAATTTCACGAGCTGCCATGGAAACAGCACTTTTTCTCCACTTCCCCTGGGGCTGCCAGGAAGAAGGCCCTGAAAATCGGTGTCTCCCCACCCTGCAAGCCTTCATGCGTGCTGCCTGTAGTTGGCCCCTCTGCAGTGTGTTTCTCCACCTGGCAGGGATCCCTGGCCTGGGCCTGGTGGCCAGGCTCTTAGGCAGATGGTAGAGTTCATGGTTGAACAGAGACAAGGGAGCAGCCAGAGGATTCGCAGTGTAACGAAGCTAGAGATGGTGTCATTGGTAGAAACAGGGTGTTTGGAGGGCAATGGGCCTAAGGGGAAGGGAGCTCAAGTCTAATGTCCAGTCCATGGGTTTCTAGTAGGTGGCAGGCAAACTGGGAGGCAGACAGATCATTCCCCATAGATCAGAAGCTTCAGGAGGGTAAACAGATTTAGGAATCTTGAAACGTAACTGTTACTAAGTAATTTAGAACTCACAAGAGTTTTAAAATTTTAAGAATCCTCTTCTGTTTTCCCTATCTTTCTAGTCAGGGATTTAGTTAGAAAGCCCTCCGAAAGGTCTCACGTCTTTACTAGAAAGATACGGAGGCTGCCCATTGATCTAAGAGTATAATTTTTCTCACGTTTCCTCTTAGTGATATGAGCCTGACCTTTCTTGACCAGCCCAAACCTTGGCCAATATTAGACCTCTAGCTTCATGGTATTTGTATTAATGTGTATTATTTTAAACATGACAAAGTTCTCTTTTAATTGTGAATCTACAGTGTTACATTTATCTTTACTATTTGAGTTACATCCTAAAATTATTTTTATTATGATTCATGATGTCTTTTTAATGGCTAATCTAAGAAAGAAGACAGGTGTTCCCCATCATGGCTGTTTCAGGCTGACTTTGGCTCTTGTGACTTTGCTGATATGTTTTTCTCTTGACAGGTTAACTTGCCCTCTTAACTCGGCAGTGGTTCTAGCATCCTATGCGGTACAATGTAAGTCACCAAGGGAGCGTTTCATGGGACAGACTGTTCTGACCAATGTATTAAGAAAGTCAGTGGCCTTTCCTGTGTGACCAGGTCACTTCCCCTCTTCCCAGGAATCCCGTCGGGCAAGCTTCTCTCTGGTTGTCGTGTCGGGATACTCCCACTTTCCCCCTGACTGACACACACTCTGCTGGCACTGGGATGTTGGTTAGGGAAGGTGTGGATGAGTCCATTCGGCAGAAGTCACCTGTCACACAACGCATTAAGCAGACCCTCGCCCACATATTAGATCTCATCATATACCCCAGTGGGGCAAAAATTTCTACCATTCGCCTCTTACAGACATGGAAAACACGTCCCGTGGTTAAGGATGTGCTGGAGGCCACTCATGCTATGTTCTTAGGATCTAAGGAATTTATTTTTGGAGTGTATTTTGGACCCAGAGTTCCCGGGTGGTTCGTCAGTCTGTAGCATCATTGTTCTATAGAAGCATAATGTGAGCCACATGTGTCATTTAAGTGTCTAGTACCCAGGGGCGCCTGGGTGGCTCAGTGGGTTAAAGCCTCTGCCTTCGGCTCAGATCATGGTCCCAGGGTCCTGGGATCGAGCCCTGCATCAGGCTCTTTGCTCAGCGGGGAGCCTGCTTCCCCCTCTCTCTCTGCCTGCCTCTCTGCCTACTTGTGATCTCTGTCTGTCAAATTAAGTGTCTAGTACCCAGTATTAAAAAGGAAAACTAAACAGGTAAGATTAGCTTTAATATTTTAGCTATTCCAGTCTATCCCACATATTATCATTTCCATATATAAGCAATGTAAAAATTAACAAGGCATTTTACATTTTATTTTCCTATGAAGTCTTTGAAAACCAGCACATCTCAGTTTGGACCAGCCATGTTTTAAGGGCTCAGTGGCCATATATTGCTAGTGGCTGCCATGCTGGATAGAAAACCCATATGGAATTTCCCATCAAGGCCTGCTTAAGCTTAAGAATCACTCATTCAGCAAAACTTTGCTGAGAATATATACCCCATCGGGCACCATGGTAGATGCTGGCTGTGCACAGTGGAGAGAGTACCTAGCCAGAAGGAAGGCAAAGTGTTGCTTCCCTGTTAGCCGTGTGGTGTCAGGCAGACTTCCATGGGAGCCCAGGACTTAGGAAGGCCCCTCTCCCTTTCTCTGCACTGCGCACCGTCTTGGCCTATTAGCCCTCTTGGCTGACTGTGTGGTAGGGAACGAAAAGGGCAAGACAGGTCTCAGAGCAGGTGCTGGCTGAATTACTCACTCTACTTTGGTCTCAGAGGCAAAGTAGCAAGAGAAGGCTGACAGGGACTCCTGAGGTGGCCTTTAAGTCTGTCCACACCCTGGGTTCAAGGAACAGGTGTAGGAGAGGTGAAGGGCAAGGTGGCTGGGCTGCACTTGTCTGCCCACCTGCATGATACCAGGAAGTGGAAGATGGACTTTTAACAGTGACCCCACTCACTAGTGAGGGAAGACCTAGTATCGGTCTCCCCCAGAGAGCCTGCATCTCCTCCCCAGTGAAAACTGAGAAGAGGTGGCACAATGGTGGGTCTGGGTAGTTTGGAAAGTTCCCTGTCCCTACAGTGCAGCTGGAACAGACCCAGCCATGTTGCATCCAGAAGGGAAGTGACACAGCCACAGTCGACCTGTATTCCTGCTGGTCTCTAGACCTCATGGCCTCCATCTCTGCCAGGCTGGTCGGCTGAAGAAACCAGCTTTGCCACGTCCCAGAGGGAGGCTGGTGTCCGAGGCTACAGCTTCCGCTTTGAGGGCTGGGAACACTTTTGGAAAGGACGTAGCTTTGCATGCAGCCAGACTCGGTCTAAAGCCCGGCTTCTCCATTTGCCACTTAGTGTAGCAATGGGGTAATTCCCTGAATTTCCATTTTTTCGTCTGTAAAATGGAGGTGAGGATGGTGACTATGATAACTCAGAATTGGCTTTGTGAGTCAAACCACACGTGTGAGGCAGTCTCCCAACTGGAAACTCTGCACTCGGACCATTGCTGTTACCTGAGTCGACCAGAGCACACCTGACCATGTTATCTGGGTTTTGGCTCTTTGCCTCATACATGCAGGACCCTGAGCCTCCCCAGGCCTCAGCTTCTTCATCTGTCAAGTGAGGATAACACTGTTTACTTCATGGGGTCGCAGTGAGGAAGGGATGTGTTATTATGTGGAAAGCTCTCAGAATCGTGCCAGGCGTAAGGTGAGCGTTAACTCTCACTCTGTTTTCACGTCGGCCCAGAAGCAAGCTTTCTAAAGAACACCTGTTGTAAACCAATTGACTCTACTTTGAGTGAAATGTAAGATCCGAACGAGAGAATCCTACTCTAAGCTTCAGTGGTCAGGTTCTCCTCTGCAAACGAATGCCGGACCGGGGACTAAAAGAATTTACAAGCACCCAAACATTACAAACTAGTGTCCGTGGGAGCCTTGGCCTCACTGGCGTGCTCATAAAAAGATGGGTTGTCAGGCAAGCATTTTTAAGTATAAGCCCTTTATCCCTCTGCTCTCAGGCAGTACCTACGTATTTCCCCCCATACTTCTGTGCTTGCGTTCCTGCAAGGTGAATTCTTGGAGAGGATACTGTGGGATGTCTGAATCGTATCTGTGACATCTCACCAGATTGTCCCCACCATGTGGCCGAGGGAGATAGGAGCAAATCAAGAGTGCACTTTCTTACTAGATAAAAAGACATGTAGGCAAGTAACCTGCAAAGACTGTAGGTTGCCGGTGGTCTCAGGCATGGATGAGGCTCGAAGAATGAAATTTTTATAAAAATCTGTATTTACTCTGTAATGTCTGTTGGCCTCTGTCACACCCAGGTTCTGCACCCACCTAAGGGTGAACGGACGACGAAGCACGGTCTCTCTGCGAGGCAAGGGGTCTCCTGCCCGGTGGGGAGGCACGGGTGGGCCAGCTGATGCTGACAGTGAGGGCGGGCACAGGGGCTGCCCTCCATCCGCGTGGGGGAGAAGCGAGTGTATCCGGGAAAGCTTCTTCGTCGCGACCCCTGAGAAGAACCTCCAAGGTCAAGTGGGATATGGATAAATAACATGCAAGGGGCTGATGTAAGGCACTTGCCGAACAGAACAGCTTAGCAGCTTGAAATGCTGCACATTTGAGTGCCTAGAATATACTCTTTCGGTCCTGCACAGTATAAAACATTAGCCAGAAGAATGCATGGAACTTAAGACAATGTATTTCCCACATAAACGCTCATTTCCTTTTCTTCCTGCTATAATTAGCTTTTGCGTGTGGTGCTTCTCCACAAATAGGAAAGTGTATTACTCTGGAGGTTAGGGTATGTGGTATAGTAAGTCGAGGAAGAGGATGGACTGTGGTCAGGGTGTAGGCTCCAAGTTACCAGCTGAGCAAAGTGGGCAGGTCCCTTCTTTGAGTCTCCCTTCCCTTAACTATTTCATGGGGATGAATGCAATGTCTGTCACCTGGTGGTCATGAGCATGATGGATCCATGGCTTTGAAACCATCATGGGACGCGCTCCCTAGGCGCTCCGAGTTTTTGCAGATGACTGTTTGACTCTGTTTCCCTCTAGTGGTTAGCATAGCACTTTGCGCAGAGCGGCGGACTACTGTTTCTAGGGAAAACCACCCTACCGGGAGGTTCCTTCATTCAGATGTTTTTCGGTGACTTGACTGAAGACAGCCTTACTATTCGTGTTCGCAGAAGGGCCCAGGGGTTGGAACTTGTCAGCTAATAGGGATGACCCACTCAAGATCCAAGAGAATCTCCATGAGCTAATGGAACCAACCGAGTAAAATTCAGTAGGATTTTTCTGGGAGGCAAAGGAAAGTCTCTTGTAGAATCTGGCTGCCTTCTGGGGACATGACCACTGTCCTCAGCAGATGGCTGGCCAGCACCAGCTTGGACCTGGCAGGCAGGCTGGTGGAGATGGTAAGAGCACCAGCTGCGGCACGGATCACCTGGGTTCTGGTCTTGACTGGCTTCTGTGAAGTGAGAGAAGTTCCTTCTCTCAACCAGTTTCTTTCCTTTATCTGTTTGTATGTTTCTTCTCTTTTAAAATGAATTTACACAAGATAATTTTAAGGCTTTCTCAAGCTGTCTTCATTGGGGCTATGTCAGGGCATCCAAATTATTTCCTATAAACACACGTACACACTTCACCACGTACAGACTTGCCTGTAAGCCACGCTTGTGCTTCCAAAGTCCAGCCTTGACATTTCTGTCCATAGCTTAGCTGCATTTGGCCGGCCTCAACAGCCTGTTGTCTCCCCTTGGCCGAGTCTGCCTGCATAGATCATTTGGCTTTCTGCCCTCTTCCCCTTCCAAAACTGAACTTTGTAGTAGCTTTTGTTTGGGTTAGTTCCAAGCACTGCATCTGTGAGCGCCTGCTGTGTGCCATCCATAGGTGCCAGGCCCCGCAGATGAGTCTGCTTCACTCCCAACCCCCAGGGAAGACTGTAAGGAGGAAACAGCCCCTCATTACAGTGTGGATCTCATAGGGCACCTGTTAACGTGTGATGGCAACTGAGGGGGAGCAGGGCCACACGGATGTAAAGAAAGACATGCTTGTGTCTCTCCTCTCATCTTTGTGATGAAATCCGCCTGGGCAGCTCCCCAGCTCCTCTCCTTCCCTTCTGAGATTGGCCATGAAGCATCACTACAGCTTCTCCCAGTCCCCATCCTTGTGACACAGAAGGAGCTGTGTGATTTAGAAATCTGTGTCGACTGGGTGCCATGAGACGTCAGTCCTCAGGAGCTCCCTGGCACTGAAACCAGTGGCAGGAAGAATTCTTCAAAACCTTTGGAAAGATTAAGGTTAATATTTTTTTTTTTAAGAAAAAGATGAAAGCGTCTCATTAAGAAAATGAAATACTGGATAATTTGCCCATCATAACAAGAACTTGTTTTTCTCGTATTTTTATAAAGCAGGAAAACCTGAATCTTGGAGAAGGGAAGCAGGTGTCCTTGGGTCCCACAGCCAGATCCTGGGCTGTTCCACCCAGGGTCTTTTTCCCAGTCTCAACAGTCCAGACACGCAGGTGGTTTGAATCCTCGGGGCAGCCATGTACACTTGTACAGGTTGGCTGCTGAACCATTCTCAGGAATACCAGTGACACCATACACATCAGCGAGTCATGTTTGTAGAATGGTAGTTAAGGATCTTGAGGGAGAGGTATTGTTTGGACCAGGGATGCATCTGATAATCCCTCTAGAAGGCTCTCTTCCTCTTCCCTTTGCTGTTGCAGGTTCCCTGTGTTTCCCTAACTCCCCTAAGAAGGTTTCCTTCTTCCCAAGAGCTCTGCCTTCAGGCTTGCTGAGGCCCAGACCCATCAGCCCCACCCACTCCCATCCCTCAGGCCATCCCCCACTCTCCCACTGTGCTTCCCAACACATCCTGGTTCAATTTCTTCTACACTTTTCCAAATTCCAGGGAGCCGGTCAGCGCGCAGGGAATAGTCAGGTCAGCATGCCCTCTCTCCTGCCCACACCCATTATTCTAGGGCAGGTTGGTCCAGTGTTGTCATCGCCCTGGGGTATTAGAGAGTCCGTCTGCCTAGTGTCTGGTAGAGGGCGTGGTATTTTTGAGTGGGCTCTGTTCTGTGTAAATATCCAGGCTAGGTACTGTGCTCGCCAGTCTGTGGTTTTAGAACAGGACCTCGCTTACACTGTTGGAACGTCTGGCCTCAGGGAGAGAGCACTCAGCGGAAGCATGCGCGGTGGTAGGGTTCTGTTAAAAATGTGGAATCTGGAGCAAATGAGCCCATCTAGGGTTCTGTTAAAAATGTGGAATCTGGAGCAAATGAGCAGCTCTATCGCACGTGGTGGTAGAACCGCTTGGAAGAATGCTTCCAGGGCCTTTCTTGTGATGCTGTCAATGCTTGTGAATACAGACCAAACTGAAAAGGCGATTTCCTCCTTGTTCTGTCTTCGCAGCTCACTTTGGAGACTATAATTCTTCCATCCATCATCCGGGCTATCTTTCCGACAGTCAGTTTATCCCAGATCAGAACGATGACTTTTTAACGAAGGTGGAATCCCTCCATGAGCAGCACAGGTGAGAGGAGGGGCGGGGCGGCCTCCTTTGGGAACCCCGGTCGGGCATTTCAGACCTCGTGTTCACTTCCATTTGTTCACGAGACCTCTTTTAAGCCGTCGGGGGGGGCGGGGTTGTGAACCTTTGCGCTGTTATGCTAGCAGATATATTTGGCATAACTAGCGTTTCTGTAAAGTGCAAAATCCAGTAAGAGTTTAGGGGGATTTACAGCGTTCTTTTTTTAGGATGTCCTTAAAATCCATTAATTCCTAGGGGGGATGCCCTTTTTAAACCTGACTGCCCCACAAATTGACCTACCAGGCAAACCTTTGAACAGTTGACCGCACTTAATAAAACAGGCGGCTCCTTCAGGCCCCACGGAACAGACAGGCAGATGGACAAATGCCACCAGGCTGTGTGACTCCCACGTCCTTTCTGGGCTCAGGTCACGAAACGGCCTTCATTCCAGAAGGGAGCACCAGTCTTCAGCGGCTGCCTCGGGCCAAGCCTGCACTCCAGCAGTCGTGCCCACTTCTGGCCCCCTCGTCCTTTGCCTCATTTTATTCAAAGTTGCAGTGGCATCCGTTCAGTCCAGCTCAGGTAAGGGCCCTCCCAACTGGGAAGGCCAGGTCTCGAGAGCCCTGCCATTCTTGGGAAGGCTGGAAAAACAAAGGCCAAGCAACCAGCGTCCCTTCTAAAAGGCTCTGCCAATCCTCCCTCCCAGAATTGTTTCCCACGCAGAAGCCAGCATCCTAAAATAGGACAGTGACGTTTGAGGGTTTGAGGCTGCCAGAAGAATAGATAAAGGTGGAAAGACCTGAAGCGCCTATCAAGTAAGCAGCTTGGAATAAGGAAGGTGGGAATTTTAAAAGGTGGCTGTCTTCTGTATCTGAGGACTGAGAACCTACTGAGAAAGAAGTACTTAGGAAAGGACTGAGCAGGCTAGATGAAGTCCCCTTCATTGGAAAAGAAAAAGACCTGCTTTAGGGTCAGATTGTTTAAGATTAATAACATAAGGTATTTAATGACCTGATAGAAATGTTACCAACTTGGAGGGGATTTTTGTTTTAAAAACTGGAGTTCTATACTCTACTGATTGGCAAACTCTGCATCTTCTTCTCTCCTCTCCTTTAGTGGGCTAAAGCAATCAGAGGCTGAATCTTGCTTTATCAACATAGCACGGACCCTCGACTTCTATGGTGTGGAGCTGCACAGTGGTAGGGTAGGTACCCTTGACCCAGTCTGGTTCAAAAAGTAACTTCCAGAAGTTTGAAAACTTCTTGAAACGGCTTTCTCCAGTATTTAAAAAACAAAAAACAAACAAACAAAAAAACCACAACCTTTTTGAACAATATTCAGAAAGTTTATAAAGTAATGTTGAGTTTGATAGGTTATTTATCCGGTTGATTTTCTCATGTTTCATGTTTCCATGGGATGGGGGGGGGGTCATGGGGATTAGAAATGAGTAGTTTTTGTAAGATGATTTCATGTTATGGTTAAAGAAGCAAAAAGTGTGTATATCCATTTTCCAGGTGATACATTAGTGAACCAAGGTTTTTACTGTTTCATCTCAGTGCTGCTCAGAATATCACTAACTGCTCAAATATGACAGCTTTTAAAAATCATAGTGGTATGATCATGCAAACCAGTAAATATTTTCAATTGATTGTGACCTTTTAAATAAAACTGACTAATATCCATCATCTACTGAGCACTTTCTATCTGCCAGACACTGTGGCTTGCTTATTTCCTGTAGTAATGCCATGAGGTGAGTATTATTACCCCCATTTTACAGATGGAGAAACTGATACTCAAGGACGTCTCAAAGGTCACATAGCACAGAAGCAACAGCTTCCGTACATGACCCCGGCACTGTCTAATCAGCATCTGATCTTTATATTTTTACCAGTAATTGGCCCCCATCATATCCCAAAGGAAGCAAATATTGGTTGAACACCTAATAGGTACTAGTCATTGCTCGAGATGCTTTTCACGAGACCCCAAGTTCTCATTTAAAGACTATAGCAATCTTGTGAAGTTGGTATGCTAATCATCCCATTTTACAGTGAGAAAATGGAGGCTCAGAGAAGTTGAGTAAATGACCAAACTTTCATCTGTAGAATATTTTTGCAATTCATAGACACGCTTTCATCTCTTTTGTGTCCCTTCAATCCTGTAACTGTGTGGTAGGCAAGTTATGACCTAAGTAATAAAGTAGGAAAAATATATGGGATCAACTTTGGGACTTGACGGTTAATTTTTATTACATTTGCAAATAATAACTTGTCATAGAATGTTGTGGAGAACTTTCTGCCGTGGTGAAGTGGGCTTTCTGTGTGTCTGAGTTGAGTGCTCTCCCCACCACCTGGGTCCCGTGAGACCCCTCAGGCCAGATGATTACCTGCCTGGCTGACACCTCCCAGGGAATCGGAGGGAGTTGGGTTATCTTTGGCTATGCTGGATCTTCTGAAAACCCCTAAATATCAATAACCTGATACCATAAAGTTCGTTCTGCAGTAGTGCAAAAGCTGCAGTGGGTCCCAGAGACCCTGCAGGGGCCTTCCTCCTTACAGCGACTCACCCGCCAGGCTGCCTCCATCCTGTGGCTTCACCAGCTCCACACGTGGCCTCATGCCTGTGACACATGAAGAGGAAGCTGGGAAATTGCACAGCACCTCTTAAATGGTTCAGCCCAGAAGAGACCCATCACTTCTCCCAGAACACTGACCACAACTAGTCATACGACCCTGCCTTCTACATGTACAGCTGGGGAATGTGGGGAAAGCGTGGGAATTTAGTGAACAGGGACTGTCTCGAGATGAGCTGCACGTGACGTCCGTTGGGTGCCCAGTAGTGAATGTTCTCTGGACTTCCGCCTGTATCAGCACTGTTTTCTTCGGCTAGTTTCTCTGATTCCCTGTGTTCGCATCACTGTTCACCAGTGATTTGTCCCACCGCACCTTGGGAGGCAAAAGGGAATGAAAGTTCATTACGCCTGCTGTGTGTTCTGTAATTTCAGCCTGAAAAAACCCTTGGAGAGGTGGCTTTGATAATCCTTATTGTACAAAGGGAAAAAAATGAGGCTCAGGAGCCCAAAATAACACAGTTAGTAAGCGGCAAACGTAACATTCACACTCAGTGATAACTAAGTCAGACCGTGCCCCACTCCTTTTTTAATATAATTACAAGTATCTGATTGGCTATGTTGGGATATAGATGACTCAGGGGAAAGAACCATTTTATTTTTAAATTTTACTGTACTCACCTTGTTCTGAAATGAATTTGAACACCTTATAGTTGCTCTTTCTTCCGTATTTTCATTGTCTATGGCAATGTGTAACATACAGGCTCTTTTTTTTTTTTTAAAGATTTGATTTATTTATTTGACAGAGAGATCACAAGTAGGCAGGGGGGGCCATGCAGGCTCCCCGCTGAGCAGAGAACCTGATTTGGGGCTCGATCCCAGGACCCTGAGATCATGACCTGAGCCGAAGGCAGTGGCTTAACCCACTGAGCCACCCAGGCACCCCTAGCACACAGGCTCTTAATGAAGGTTGAGTGTATTGGATTTATAGGCAATATTTCTTTGTTCATTGGGTTTAAAGTCAGCACTCCTATGCTTCATGACAACAGGTAGCTCACGCCTTTCCAGTGATGGGAGTGGAGATTGGTGGAAAGCTGTGCAGAGGGCGAGGCCTTCCTGATGCTGGCATAGCATCCAAATGTTGCAAACGTACGATTATTGGATGCTCACAGCAAGAGTCTGTGGCATGATGAGTGGGCCTGCCTGGTAACTCTCTGAGCCGGCGGGAACCAGCTGTTGCTCTCAGGTGGCGTGTGTTCACTTTAGATGAGTCTGATGCTGAGTTCTTGGATCTGAAGTGTCCCGTGCCTGTTTTCCATAAGATTTTCCCTTTGGAACATACTGCTGTGTATAAAAGCATGGGTGCTTGACTGATTGGAGGGCATTAGCATGACTGCAACATGCCGTGCATCTGAGCTCTTCCCTTTTCCAGGATCTGCACAATTTAGAGCTAACGATTGGGATTGCTTCTGCGGGCATCGCCGTGTACCGAAAATACATTTGCACAAGTTTCTATCCTTGGTAAGTACGAACCGCTTCTAATTATTTTCTGAATCATGCCTTAGAAATGTGCTGAACAAAAGAAATGTTGTCTCTAATTTTAAATTTTTATTTCTGAAGGCAGGATGGAGACTTTACCCCCTAGGTTTTCCCCTCCGACCTGGGGGGTTGACCCAGATTCAGTACTTGGGCAAAGTAAGCTGGGTTTTCCCCACATCCCCTTCTCCTAGTCACTGTGTGGTTTGGGATACTGTGTGGAAACATGGATAGAACGGTGCAAGGCAGGTTTTGGAGTGGAGGAGTCCTGGGCAGTGCATTGGCCAGAAGTCCGAGGACTTCCTCTGTGCACGAACTGTATTGTAAGTGTGGTTCCTTAGTTATTAGTTGGACTTTCATCAAGTGTTCAGACTTGAATCCTCACAAGACCACTCTGGAAAAGGCAGTGCTTTCCAAGGTCTTTGTAGTGCAGGGCTTGAAGGCACAGGCCCAGATCCACGCATTCCTAGTTGGATGATCCTGAGCACTTTGGTGAGGTCACTGAGCTCAGTTTTGCCATCTGAAAACCGGGTATAATCCTACATTTCAGGACTGTTGGAAGGCCTAGTTGAGGGACTGCTAGCAAAGTTTTTAGTAGGGGACCTGGCATATAAAAATGCTGTCCGTCCGGGCTGTCATCGTGTTCTCATGCACACAATAGAAATGCTGCTTGACACACAGTAAGTACCAGAGCTGGGATGTGGACTCAAGTCTGTCTGGCTACTGTCCGTCCTCCTTCTGCTCCACACTGCCCTCATCTGTCCTCCCCGGGCACACACCAACCCAGGCAGAGCTGCGGCCTCACCAAAGCAGCTGACCGCAGAGAGAGCACATGGCCCGTGGTTCTTGTTATTTTAAAGTTACATCATAATCCAGCGGCCCCTATGTGGTACTCAGCTTCAGTCAGCTCCTTGGCATCTGGCTGAGGCGACAGCTGCCGTCACTCCTACCCTGAGGTAAACTCGGGAAGCCGCGACCCCACGCTCCTTGTGATCACAGAGCGGAAGACACACTTCGAGAGATGTGAGCTGCTGCCTGGCTCTCCCTCAGTGCATTCTGTGTGCTTTATTTCTTGCAGGGTGAACATTCTAAAAATTTCTTTCAAAAGGAAAAAGTTCTTCATACATCAGCGACAGAAACAGGTGAGTTATGTCTGTGCTTGCTTTGTTTCTTGTGTTTGTTACCACTTTAGCCGTTAGTTCTGCGGCAGGGGATGGCAGCTGGCTGTGCGGGTTATTGGAGAAAGAGCTTGATGGGTGCTGTGCAGAAAATGGAAGCCGGAGTCCCGAGTTCCGTCTAGAATTCGTGGCTTATTGGGTTGGAGATGTAACTTGCTTGGGAGCCCGTGACGGCGGCTTTGGATCTTCAATGCTCCACCTCCACTGATCAGCTGGGCAGGCTCCTTAACGTCCCCTAGCCCAAGAGACCTTGTTCTGGCAATGTTGTAGTGCCTGCCTCTCGGGGAATCCCGAAGGTTAAGTAAAAGAGCACTGGTCAGAACACTTGGCATGAGCCCACGCGGGGTGGCAATAAATGTCAGCAAGATGAGGTTCTTCCCTTAACGTGTTTCTAGTGCACAGTAAGGGGACCTGGGTAGCTCCGTTGGTTGAGTGTCTGATGTCAGCTCAGGCCATGATCTCAGGGTCCTGGGATCAAGCTCTATGGCAGGCTCTGTGCTCTCTCTCTCTCTCTCTCTCTCTCTCAAATAAATAAAATCTTTTTAAAAATCAAATAAAATGGGGCGCCTGGGTGGCTCAGTGGGTTAAAGCCTCTGCCTTCGGCTCGGGTCATGATCCCGGGGTCCTGGGATCGAGCCCCACATCGGGCTCTCTGCTCAGCAGGGAAGCTGCTTCCTCCTCTGTGCCTGCCTCTCAGCCTACTTGTGATCTCTGTCAAATAAATAAATAAAATCTTAAATAAGTAAATAAATAAATAAAATAAAATACACAGTAACCTTTGCATGTGTCTCCTAAGAGGAGACCACTGCTCTCCAGATGACTGCAGTTGAAGAAGAGAACTTGAAGGTATGGACGCTCAGGCTCCCACAGCTACCCAGGGAGGAGCTAGTGTTCTAACCAGAGACGCCTGCTCTTTCCACGACCCCACACTCTGTCCTGTTGTGCTCTGTATTTTTCACTTACTGTCCTTATGTTCATTTCCCAGGGTTTCAGAGATAATATGTTCTTAAAATGGCTTCACCTAGCATGGAATGAGGACACGAAAGGACACATGGAAATGAGGACAGTAAAGCCCAGAGCAAACTAGGACTAGAATCTGGGTCTCCTGACTGCCCCCCTCCATTGCAAGATTGAAGGTGGCCCCAAAATGTACGAGGTGGTAATTTAGCATGAAAACAGAAAACTTAAGTAGGATGAAGGTCAAGGAAATAATTAAAGTGAGGATATGTGAGCACTTGATTTAGCTCCGTGCTTGGGGGACAAAGGGAGAAATCCGGAGGCTTATAAAGTCCCAAGTTTCAGGTAAATGGAAGAGTATTTCTTCAGGAGAGATCTTCCCAGAGCTAATTTTTGAAAGAAATGTATCATACAGCCTTTTTTCTGGTTGTTCCAAATATATCCAACCCAGGAGCGTAAGTGCATTTGAAATCAGTCTTCACAAAGGATCACAAGTGTTGGTGAAGAGTAGAGTCAGGGGACACCTGGGTGGCTCAGTCCTTGGGCCACTGCCTTCAGCTCCTGGGTTTGAGCCCCACCTCGGGCTCCCTGCTCAGCGGGAAGCCTGCTTCTCCCTCACCCACTCCCCCTGCTTGTGTTCTCTCTCTTGTTGCCTCTCTCTCTCTTTAAAAAAAAAAAAAAAGAAAGAAAAGTTGAAAAAAAAAAAGAGTAAAGTCATCTTTACCGCATTAATAAGCTAGTTAACAGAGCCTGTTCCTGACCCTGTCACGCTGGTTTGTGGCCTCAGGCATTTTGAAGCTGGTTTTCCGCTGTCTGTTGCATCTTAGCCGACGACCACTGATGTGGTCTTAGAATCTCTGTGAGCCTTTGCTCCTTCCTCTGTGCAGGTGAAACCTCTACTGTGTTTTTCCTCCCAGACTGAATCCAGGGAACATATCGTGGCCTTCAACATGTTAAATTACCGATCTTGCAAAAACTTGTGGAAATCCTGTGTCGAGCATCATACGTTCTTTCAGGCAAAGAAGCTACTACCTCAGGAAAAGAATGTTCTGGCTCAGTACTGGACTATGGGCTCTAGGAACCCCAAAAAGTGAGTATTCTTGAGGGACGGTGTCCACGGTAGACTGAGATGTGACTGTGTCCCCGTCACCGCCGGGTAGGGGACATCCTCGGGGGAAGGGAATGACAGCTCTCCAAGGGGAGCTGCATGGCTCCAAGTATCTCAGGGGCAGCAGCGTCTCCTTCCACGCACACTCAGCTGCTGCTCGTGGTTCCCATCCATCCTTTCTGCCTCCGTAGCTCTGCTGCCCTGGGAGTGTCCAAGCAGCCCGAATTACAACTAGTCCCACAGCGTGTTGCAATAAGGGAATCCCGTGTCCGTGACTCTGAGGGTTGTCCTGCTGCTAAGAACAGCCTCTCCCACAGAATGTTAATTCCATACAGTGCCCCCAAATAATGAATGAGCAGAAATCAGGCTTCCCAGAGTCAAGTGACGTTGGGATATACTACATATCACAATCACAAAATAACAGTAATCATGAAAACTGGCAATCGAGTGTTTACTTTGTACCGTGCACATACTTAATTATATTTAAATTACATTTAAATCCTATGTGTACTGATATCTACAGGAATGATAATCAGAATATTTAATGAGTAGTGCAGTGGAAGAAATTCCTCTTCTAAAATTTTAACTTTAGAGTGTATTTCCTAAACTAATCCTGCAGTTTACATTTTTGTGTATTTATTCTAAGACTACCCTCTAAGTAGAAGATCTAGCAGAAATGATTAAGCTACTGTAAACTGTTGGTTGGTTTGAAAAAATTGTTTTCATAATTTTGTTGTTGATGTGGCTGTTACTAATGAAACAGGGGCCCCTGTCTAAGCCATTATCTGATATGTGGGACTGTATCAGACTATTTTCATGACATTCCTATTACTTTGATAATCATTAGGTAGCTTTTTATAGATCCAGTAAGCAGTGAATTTCTGTTCATATCAGTGATAGTATTTATGGTGCTAAGTGTTCTCTCTCAGCTTCTGATGAAACAAGATATATATTTTCAAAGTTTCCAGCTCATATAATATTATCTAGTATTTTATACGTTTAGTGGCTCTTACTGAACATGTCACAGACTCAACTTTATGGGAATTTGCTGTTCACTTTAGTTGGACCTAAGCCTTCGGGCCAGCTGACAGGACTGGATAGTGAGCAGTTGAAAGCCTGGACTTTGCTGAGAAGACTGAGTTCAGATCCTGCCTGTGTCACTTTTAATTTGAATTTACTGTTCGAATTTCCTAATTTCTGTCAAATACAGCCAACACAGAGTTGGGGGTAAGGTGGGCAGGTTCTGTGAGAGAATAAACAACCCCTATTTTGGGTACAGTAAAACAACCAACCATCTTGGGGTGCCTGGCTGGCTCAGTCAGAATAGCGTCCAACCCTTGATTTCAGCTCATGTCATGACCTCAGGGTCATGATTTCATGTCCCACGTGGGGCTCCACGCTCAACATGCAGTCTGCTTGTCCTTCTCCCTCTGCTTCTCCCCCATGTGCACGTTCACTCTCTCTCTCTCTCAAATAAATAAAATCTTTAAAACAACAACAACAACAAAACACAACCATTTTTCTGTTCTGTCTTGAGATTTTGTGGATTGAGAATTTGGGAGGGGCTTGGCTAGCCACCTCCCCTGCTCCACGTGGTATAGACTGGGGTTTCTCAGCAATAGGCAGCTGGTGGCCGGGCTGGGCTGCGGATCCAAGAAGACTGGGCTCCCATGCCTGATGGAATGATTGGAAGTCTGGACCCCCCTGGACCCCTTCCTTCACTCTGTTCTCAGGGCCTCTTCATGTGTGCTCTCCAGCAGGGTAGTTGGATGTCTTATGCAGAAGTTCAGGGCTCTGAGGGCAGAAGCACCCAGTCATCTTCAAGGCCAGGCCTGGAACTGCCACAGCTCCTCTCGGTCAGAGCCGTTACAGGCCAGCCCACATTCAAGAGTCCAAGAACTTGAGCCATTTTTAATCTACCATTGGGGGTCAGTGATTTGGGGACACAGGTCAGCAGTTCTTCACTGCAAAGACCAACTCCATTGTATTGCAGATTTTAGCCCTCACTGCGTCCATTTTATAGATGAGAAAATTGAGGTTCGCTTCCATGATTTGCCCAACCCTAGAGCTACACCTACATATGTGCATGTGGGGCCTCCTGATAGAGGTTCCACATAAAAGGAACTGGTTCAGTATTTTGCAAGCATAAGCGACAATGAAACACTTTTTTTCCCCTAAAGAGTATCTGTTAATGACCTGTGACACATACCTTGGCGAACTACGACATTAAACTTTTAAATCCTCTTTCTCCCCTTGTTCTGAGGCCAGGTTCTCAATCAATGCTGATATGCTTTCTGATGTAGATTCTCCTGGTGATGCTGCTGTGAACATTTTGATCAGGGTGACAGTGATATTTCTTACTGTAATTGAGTACCTTGATATTTTCAGGAGAGTTTCACGTTCTTCTGGGTTTTTTGTCCCACTCTTTTTGTTTGTTTGTTTGGCTTATTGGTTTTAGGCTGCAAGGAAATGCATGGAATGTTTTTGGTTTTTGGTTTTTTTTTTTTTTTTAAGATTTTATTTATTTATTTGACAGAGAGAGAGAGAGAGATCACAAGTAGCCAGAAAGGCAGGTAGGGAGCGTGGGAAGCAGACTTTCTGCTGAGCAGAGAGCCTGACATGGGGCTCGATCCCAGGACTCTGAGATCATGACCTGAGCTGAAGGCAGAGGCTTAACCGACTGAGCCACCCAGGCACCCCTGGAATGTTTTGATAAGACATTATAACATTGTTTAAAATGTAGGAATGGCATGGGGCACATGGGTAGCTCAGTCGTTGGGCATCTGCCTTCGGCTCAGGTCATGATCTCAGGGTCCTGGGATCCAGCCCCTCATCGGGCTCTCTGCTCAGCGGGGAGCCTGCTTCTCCCTCTTCCATTCCCCCTGCTTGTATTCTGTCCCATGGTATCTCTGTCTCTCTCTCTTTGTGTCAAATAAACAGATTAAAATCTCTTAAAAAAAATAAAATGTAGGAATGACAGAACTGAATTTCCTTTAAAGTGACTTCAAACCCCATCCATCAAAGAATTCATTCCTTGGGGGTCTAGATGGCTAAGATTTCAATTCTCTAGGTATGAATAGAACATGGACGTTAACTCCGGGGAAGCCCGTTCATACAGCACGGGGCATGGAGCGCCACCACCGGAGCATGTTCTCGGGCCTTCTTTCAGAGAGTTCTCTGTGATTTATAGCTAATGGCTTCTGCCAGCTCGGATGACAAAAATCACCTTCCTGGAAGGATGGTCAATGTTTGTGTTCATGCCATTGTGAGTGACGTGAAAAATTCCTTGAAGTTATTTGAACTGTTTTTGTGTTATCCTAAAAATCTTCTCATCTCCTGGTAAGGTTTGGTTCTCTTCTGAGTGCCAGTTTGTTGTTTACAGTAGTAGGGCCAAATACTTTCACCAGAAGCAGAGAAACAACAAGGAAAGGCCAGAACAGAAGGGAACCACTTTGGACCTCGTACCTCCACTCCTTGTAATCTTGGCTGGTGTCTGTCATCCAGGATCTAACCAGCCCTCCGCCAGGGAGGGAGCGTGTGTGGATAGACTGTTTCTTTTATGGTGTAATTTCTTGTTGAACATGTCTGTCCGCGTAGAAAGTGAACCTTGCTTCTGGTTTTTCAGGTCTGTAAATAACCAGTATTGCAAAAAGGTGATTGGAGGGATGGTGTGGAACCCAGCCATGCGGAGATCATTATCAGTGGAGCACTTAGAAACCAAGAGCCTGCCTTCTCGCTCCCCTCCCATCACTCCCAACTGGTATGTCCTCCTTTGTTTTTTCTTGTACTACCCACCAGTAAAAACTTTATTTCTCTTAAAAACTCAGCTTCCTAAGTCTTCCCAAGATAGGTGGCCCACAATCAAGGTTTGTGTTGCTCGCTTGGCTCTTGTGAAACGAACAGTTTACTGTTTTCATGACACGCGCAGGCCTCACTAAACATTTTCCTTAGTGTGTGGTGCTGGGATGATCTTGTTTTTAAGAAGTTATTTGGTCTGAATTGGAGAACTACTGCCTACTGAAAAGCCCCCTCTTGGAATTAGAGTACACACTGGCATATTAATGTTCTGGGAAATCCTGTGATAAGGAAGTACACTGAGCTTTAACATCATCTGAGTTCCATTAACATCACACAAAATAAACTTCAGGAAAACCTAGTAAAGGGTCACCGAGTAGGGTGTGTGGCCCTCAGCAGCAGGAGCAGACGCCCGTGGGGAAGTAGCCTGCCAGCGTTTAAGAGAATGGCTTTAAAGGAAGAAAGTGGCAGTTGGCAAAGTGGGAAGGACAGCGTGTAGCCGCATCACCCGGCCTCAGGTTTGGGCCCTTTTGTTAACTCACAAGTTTCTTTACCTCTCTGGTCTCAGTCTTCCCATCTGTCAAAGGGTTCAAAAATCACCCAGATGATTGAACAGTGTACAAGTGCTTTGTACGTAGAAAAAAAAAGATAATCAGGTGGAATTCTTATTGTATTAGAATGTTCCTCAGAGACACCAGGCCAGTTTTGTGAACCCGTCCAGAATGGCCGGGCGTCGTCTGGAGGAGGGGAAACCAAGCCAGAAACATTGCCCCAACTCCCTGCTGGACTGGAGAGCATGGCTTTGTATTCATGCCTTAAAAGATACGGGTGGACCTGTAAATGACTGAGGAGAGACCTAGTAGGACTAAGGGAGATTCCAACAGGCATAAAACGGGGCTGCTGTGCAGGGCCGCTGGCTGGGGACCTCCCCCTCCCCCAACCCCCAGGGCCGAATGCTAGAGGCAGAGATGCCAATGGTACGTGGTGTTAGAGATCCTGGCATGACTGAGTAGATTTGTTTTTTGGTTTCCCAAGATTTAGGCCCCTCATCCTAAAGTGGTAAATCTGTGCTGTAACGTAGCAGCTTAATTTGTCTGGAAGCCTCTGGGGGCAGCGATGCCAGGGCCCCGGAGCCGAGGCTCAGGACGGCATCCAGGAGAACAGCGGGGTTTGATGTCGCCACACCCGTGGCCGGGAGCTCTGACTGCTATTTATAGGTCCCCTCCTGAGGAGTCACGAGCCTTTCTTCCCTGCTCCGGACACAGTATTATTGATTATCTGGGTCCCGGGGGAATGGGAATAGCAGAGGCCCTGGCAGTGTCCAGGAGACATGGCTAAGGAAGAAGAAGGCGGAAAAACGGAGAGAAAGTAGAAGGCTCAGCAGCCCGGAGTCACCCACTGCGGGAGCCGATGTCCAGGGGCCGCGCCAGTGGTCCAGAGAACACGGCTTCATTTGGTTCATTCTCAGGAGCAGGTGGGTACAGCTGAGGCCCAGAGAGGGGGTGTGAGTTGCCTAAAGCCACACAGCAGCTGCTGCTGTCGGAGAAACAGGGTGGTGGTGCCTCGCCCATCTAATAGGGCATACAGGCTGTATTTTTAAAAGCAAACATTTCGGGGCGCCTGGGTGGCTCAGTCGGGAAGCGTCTGCCTTGGGCTCAGGTCATGATCTCCGGGTCCTGGGATCGAGCCCTGTGTCGGGCTTCCTCTCCCTCTACTGCTCCCCATGCTCGTGTTCTCTCATTCTCTTTCTCTGTCCAATAAATAAAAATGTTAAAAAAATTTCCTCTTGGATTAAGTGAAATTCCATGAAGGGATGTAGTTGAAGTAAGGTTTTGGTTTTGCCAAAAACTGTATTTTGGCTGCGGCTGCTGCTGCTGCTTCTTCTTTTTTATTTTGTAAGATTTTATTTATTTATTTGACAGAGAAAGAGCACAAGCAGGGGGAGCAGCAGACAGAGGGAGAGGGAGAAGCAGGCTAGCCATTGAGCGGGGAGTCCAGTGCAGGGGTTGATCCCAGGACCCTGAGATCATGAACCAAGTGGAAGGCAGACACCTACCCTCCTGAGCCATCCAGGCGCCCTGTATCTTGGCTTATAAACCCGTTACTTAATACGGGTTTTCAAACGAATCCGAAGAATTGACCAGTAGTCAATATAGTCTGTTATTTGTGCCCTGAGAGCTTGAGTCTTCCTAAGAGGATAATTTACTCTAAATCAACCTCGCCGCTTCCCAAAGGGCATAAGTTAATCTCATCAGCCTGTTTTTATAGCCAAGGCTACCATGCTGGGGGCTACAGCACGGGGGCTGAGAGTCTCGAGGACTGGTGTGGCCCTGGGTGGATGCCAGTGTGGCAATGAGATAACCGGTTCTTAATTTCCAACAGCGCGAGCCAAGGCATCCTTAGAAAGGTCAGGGCACAAAGTTAGATCCCTGATGCCTGGTAAAGTTTTTAAGTGGAATTTGCTTTCAACACTTCACACTCGACCTTGCCCCCATGCAGGCGAAGTCCTAGGCTCCGGCACGAAATCCGAAAGCCTCGGCACTCTTCTGCAGATAACCTTGCGAACGAGATGACCTACATTACGGAAACCGAAGATGTGTTTTACACGTACAAGGGCTCCCTGTCCCCCAAAGACAGCGAATCGGAGGTTTCTCAGAACCGAAGCCCGCGCCGAGAGTAAGAAACATGTTCTCTTCTTTGTATCTGTGCATTTTGGCTGTGGAGGGATTTGCTCAGGCCCAGAGATGGCCATTTAAATCAAGGGCTGGAGCCTGCAGCCAGCTCGTCGGCTGCCCTCTGCCTGTGTCAGAGTGTCCTTCCACCACGGGGGGGACAAGCTGTATGCCTGGGGTCTCAGGCTTGCACTTTTTCTTGTATACTCTCCACAGACATGTTAGCTCTCTTGAACTGTCTCTACTTCATGAGCAAAGCCCTGTTTTAATTAGTACATGTTCCAGAGCAATAGCTAGGTTAACCTGAATAGCAGTATTTCTCTAGATTGCCAAAGTTTCAACCACTGCAAGGTTTCTGGGTCGCTGGAGATAGGCTTACTTAGACCCGTCCACAGAAAGCCTTCTCAGACCCACAGTGTGCCCTCGGGGTTTTAGGGGGAGAGGGGCTCGTCTTTAATGAATCATTAGTGTAAAGCAAAAACATGCAAAGACCATCTCCTGCATTTTTGTTAACTTTTTGTTGGGGTTAAATTCTTTTATGTCCCCACTTTCCTTTTGTTAAATGTGACAGACTCCCTTTACATCTCAAGGCCAGGGAAAAAACGTCTTTCCAAAAGTTCTGGGTTGAGTGCTTTTATGATTCAGTTAGCTGTATTGAATTCACTCCTTCCCTTCTGTCTTGATGAGCAGGGAACCCAGAGCTCCCCAGTTGGCTCAGTTACTCGGGCTTCCCTCCCTCCAGCTTCTGACAGAGCCCCCACTCTTCTTCGCCTTTTTCATGGGTCTTACTTTTTTCTCTTAATGAATTCACGGTGCTACCCGATCTATACATTTTAGAGTAAGTGATCTCAAAATCAAGTTTTTGCAGTGGACAAGACCTAATCATAGATAAAATGACAAGTATGAGAAAACTGGGTCAACCATTAGGAAGTCAACCATAGGCATGGAGTATTGATGCTGTTTAAGTGCCATACTCTACCTGAAATCTGGAACATAATGCCTCCCCTAATGGCACAGGATTAGCGAGAAGGCACTTTAGTTAATCTGTAAATTTTTACCACTCTAGCTGCTAGGCTTAACGCACTCAGCACACCCTGACTGTATTCTAGACTTCGCAGGTGAATTGCAAATCTGGCTGCCCCCTTTCATGGGAGGTTGTTACCTCTCTATTGTCTCTGACCACAGCAAATGTGGTTTCCAGCTTATCTGTGTTCTTAACACCTCTGGTTAAATAATTCTCTAGTCACTGTTTCCTTGTGACCTGAGCTCGGGTGATACTTCTGTTGAAATGATCCCTATCTCTTGCTCCAACTTGCAGGCCTGTTGAAGTGACAATGTGGAAGGGTGTGAGTTCCTTTGTGTGACACCATGGCTTTGCCAACCTAGATAGACAAGGCAGGAATGCAGGCCTGCATGGTTTGAGCCAGCGTGAGTCGACGACAGGGTTGTGTAGCTTTGGGGAAAGGAGAAAGAGGGTTTGGAAGATGGATTGAGGGCTCTGGGAAGCTCAGTCTCACACCCTCCCTGTCACCCCTTCCTCTTGTGGTTTGCAGCCCCCTCATGGAATTGGGGACCATCCAGACTCCCGTAGACAAGCACAGCAGATTTAAGTTTCTTAACATTGAAATCCCATTCCTCAGTCATCCAAGCCTCATTTCAAGTGCTCAGGAGCCACATGTGGGTAACGACTACCATACTGGATGGAGACAGACAGAGAACCTTCCCATCATCACAGAAAGTGCTGTCGGCAGTACTGATCCGTGCCACACAGAGAGAGATGGATGCTGTCCGGTGGGGTGTGGGTGCTTTTCAAGGCTCCGTGTGGTCCTGACCACAGCGGCATGCCCTATGTACCCTTTGCTGCTCACGGAGGGAACATCAAGGTGAATTAGACAAGTCTTTGCCTTAAGGGGCCTCCAGTCCAGCTGGACAAACAGCATATTGTCAGCCTTGGTCACTGTGTCTTCTACCACTTTGGGAAAAGGAAAGGGTTTGGGGAATAGTGTGAGGGTCCTGAGAAACCCAATTATGTGTCCCACGTCAGATTTTCCTGCCGTGGCCTGCTACCCACGTCATGGCATCACGTGGCAGCTAGACCTTCACAGCCCAACACAGAAGCCACTAGCCACGTAGGGCTATTCAACTTCGCATTCAGGGGCTCCTGGGTGGCTCAGTCGGTTAAGCAGCTGGCTCTTGCTCTCAGCTCAGGTCTTGATCTCAGGGTCATGAGTTCAAGTGCCATGTTGGGCTCCACACTAGGCGGGGAGCCTACTTTAAAAAAAAAATACATTCACTAAAATTAGATTCAAAACTCACTTCCTTAAGTCCTGTTTAATTCAAGTAGTTTCAGGCCGTGCACACCCCAACGCGTGGCCCATCAGTTCTTTCTGAAGCTCCCCCGTGAGACCTTGTAAGATGTGTCATCCCGGGGCACTTTCTGTCTTGCAGCTTATTGTTCAAAGTAGCAAATAATGGTGATTCCAACGCAGCCTTCCTTGTCGTGGCTCTGCTAGGTGTGACAGGACTCACGGAGTCCCCTTGGTGGCCGTGCGCGGCATGTGGGGCGAGCAGGTGAAACACGGCAGGCCCTACCACCTCAGGTGGGGACCCCTCCCTGCTGGCGGGAAGCTGCCGCCCGCTGGGTCTTCAGAGGCAGCTGCCCACCCCCACCCCAGAGTCCGGGGGTCGGGGGTCCCTCTGCTGCCCAAGGCAAGCAGGCAAGGTTGTTCTGTGCTTGGTGGGAAAAAAAAAAAAAACTGGGGGTGGTTCCTGGAGGGAGTGTTTATTTGCAAGGCCTTTAAGAAACGTCTGGCATGTTTTCGACAGCCCGTTTGTGCTAAGAGGCAAAAAGAACTATTCTGTCAGAGAATAATACCGCAGTCTGGAGGGTTCCCTGTAGAAAGGAGAATGAAGTGTACCGTTCTGTACCCACGTAAACAAGAAGAAGAAAGAGAAAGGAGGGAAAAGAGCAGAGAGCTGGGGGCTCTGCACCCAGAGTGGCGCGGCTCAGGCTCTCTGAGCGTTATCTTGGCGGGTGAGTCACCGTCCGGGCTATTCCGTATTTATAGCAGCGCCGCGAAGTTTATGATTATCGCTCTGGATCCTTGGCAGTTCGCTTTGTGCCCAAGTCAGCTGTGCTCTTTTGTTACTCCCAAGGTTCTCTCAGCCCTTCCGTGTTCCTTCGCTGGCTTCGGAGCAAAGTCCGGACTCTGCAGGAAAGGCAGTTTCCTTCATGGGGGGAAAAACAATGTTTTTTAAACCAACCACTCCCCACGACCCAGAAAACAGGGGAGGGGAGGTTCCCTGAAGGAAAGTGACTTTTGAGAGCAGAGCCTGGCAGAAAACCCACTGGGGCACAGAGGAGGGTCGTCTTGGAAGGACTTTCTTGTCGTTGGTGTTTCACGGTCGCCCTGACGGGTCCTCAGAGGGAGCGCGGCTCTGTGTGGTGATGCCTCAGGATTTGCTGGCCTCTCTCTTCAGAGCCCGCCTTGTTCTGGGGGACACGGGGCGGCTGTCACTTTTTATCTCAAAACTCTATGCAGGCAACATGGGAGTGCACTTAACGCTACTGAACGGTACACTCGAGAAAGGCTAGAATGGTCAGTTTTGTAGTGTGTGTGTTTACCCTCCGCTGTTCAACACTTCTAAAAAGAACTTCTGCTCATCGAGAGGGACTCTGGGAACTCCCTCTGGAGCCACATCGGCCGTGCGGGAGCGCGCCCGGCCTGGCCACCCGGGTCTCCCTGCTGGCCCTGGGGCAGCCTGTCCTGGTGGTGGGCAGCCCCGTCGTCCAGCCTGTGCAGGAAGCCTTGTCCTGGACGCTGGGCCAGCATGAGCCCTGCCGTCCGCAGATCCCTGCCTCAAGCTCCTGGAACAACACAGGTGGCGCCCCCTTCTCATTCTCCCTCACAGCCCCATCTCCCCTCCTTTACATTACTTCCCATTCCGTCGGCCACTGTCCACCCTTCAGCCTGCTGGTCACTGTTCTCTGCACGTCAGTCCTGGACTAGAGGGCGACACCTGGCTTGGGACGTAGTGACGGGATCGGTGTACCTCTGAGGGTTTCTGTCGGAGGAGGCCAGTCTGCCACGGGGCTGCCTTAGCAGTTCTGTGCTCGTTTTCTCTGCACCTCGCCTGTCCTCCACCAGGACATCTGACCACTTGCATGACAGATGCCTTAAACCTCAGGGACCCCAGTCTCCACTGACCGTCTCCCTGTCCCACCTGTGGCTCCTCCTGGGTCTTGGCAAGTAAGGACCGCATTTCACTACTACCCTGTTTGCAGCCGTTGGAAACCTCAGTCATCCTAGACTCCTTTTCTTCTGCCTTCCTCTGCGAGGCCCTCACCTCGGTAATCTTCCTCCCAGGCTGTTCTTGAATTGGAACACCGTGCCACTGCGCATCCCGCGGTCACCCGCCGTCATTGGTCATGGGGACGGTCGTGATCGTGTCCTTAACCTTGGGTCTGCCGTCCCAAGCCATCCCTCACAAGTCAACAGGCTTCTCTTTGGGAAATCTGTGCCCCAGCATGTCACTTTGTCAGAGTTTCATGCCTCTGCATATGCTGCTATTTTGTCCTTTTTATTAATAGTATTTTTCCTAGTCCATCTTCTCCCTCCCTCTCAGCTACTTGTTCAGACCCCTGCTAATTCATCACTCAAACTCCAGGTCCAGTGCTCCCTGCTCTGTGAAGGCTCTCCTGGCTTCCTGCTGTACACTCAGACATCTGAGCATCTCCATTGCAACAAGATATTATTTGATTATTTTTATACTTTAAATTCTTCTTTTTTTTTTTTTTTTTTAAATTCCTCTCTGAAACTAGACTGTGAGCAGGGATAGTGCCCTGTGTACCTCTCTGAGAGCAGGGATAGTACCCTGTGTACCTCTCCTTCCCCCAGACCTGGCATGGTGCCCGGCACTTAGTACATATTCAGTGAGTACTTGCATGGTTGGACAAACAGATGGACAGATAGACAGATGGTTACAGGAAGCAGTGGGATGCCCCCTCTGCCACCTTCACGTTAGGTACCCATATCCTGTGAACAGCATTGCACGATTTGATTTATATGCACACGAAGAAATCAAACAGACCTCCTTTGGCGAGTTTAGGTTAACCATCATTTGTGAGCAGAGCCGTGTGGTAGGTCTGTGGCAGGTCATATGGCAGGAAACTCTCCTCAGAGAGCTAAAGCATGAAGTGACTGAAATGGAAGGGCTTTCTTGCTGTTGCGATATCTTCATTTCTAGGGAGAAGCCAGGGGTGTGGGACGGATGCACGACCCATGATTCCGTTAGTGCAGAAATAATAAAGCCCAGAAAGCAACCCATCTGCACCATACTCCCTGAGCCACTTCTGCCACTTCTGAAGTCTTGATCTTGGGCCGTTGGCATTTACGACAGATTTCAGAGTATCTTCAGAGTGCCATGTGCAGAACATCTCCATGTCCTAAAAACCCACGCTTGAAAAGAGTATTCTGTTTGTCATTCAGTGACCCTGATGTGAAGATAAGATCCGTATGAAAAATTTCTCCACGAATCCCATTCACAAGAAACGTGGCACTAGCGGGGAGCTGGTACCCTTTCTTGTAGCCCCTCACACTCCCGCTTCAGCCACAGCTCAGGAACATCCGCATCTCCTGAGAGCTTGCTGAAAACGTGAGCCTCGGGCCCACCCCAGGCCTGCTGAATGAGAGTCTGCATTTTAACAAGATCCTCAGGGGACCCGTATGAACATGACGCCCTCAGAAGCTCTGAGCTCATAGAAGCTGGGAACTACATAGCCCACCTTTTCCCCTCTGCCTCCAGGTGACTCCGTGAATTCTGTGCTCTTCTAGCGTAACTCAGCCAAGCCCAGGTACTTCAGGAAGGTGGTTTTCTTCTTCATTCACTCAGCACCATGCTTGAGCTCTCGCTGCGTGCCTGGCTGGGTGTCTTGTGTGCTAGGATAGGAGAGGAAGAGAAAGAGGAAAAGAGGACGAAGGTCTCTGCCAACATGGAGAAGCTCATCGAGAGAGAAATGACAGCAAATGGCCCCTGTTCTGTAACACCGCACAGCAAACACCTCCTCACCAGGCACCCAGTTAGAGCTGGGACGCCCTCCGTGGAGCACGGCTTTGCTCTCTCCAGCAGGCTTGAGGGTGCAGGTCATTGTCCTTGCGCAGGGTTTAGGGAGCTGTGACATCAAAGCATCACGATGCGGGAATTTTCTTTCGTGGGCAGTCCTACCATTTACAATTTCCTTAGCTTTGCTTCTCTTCTGAGAGATGAATTCTGGCATGACTTTGGCTTCTCATACCTGTAGTCGGTGGCACTTAGAGTTCTGAAGCATCTGTTTCCTGCAGGTGAATGCGCTTTGGTCTGCCGGTCAGTCTGTCCTTGCCCCTGTCTCCCCAGTGAGCTGGAGGTGGGCAGTCCCTCCCTGGCTGCTCTGGCTCCCAGACAGCAGTGACAGTCCCTCCCCACCCGCCATGTCCCCCTCTCCTCTGACAAGGGCCCCTTTCCTGCCTCAGGGACAGACCCTCTTCCCAGTTACTGGCTTTGTCAGCCCACACTGACTTCTTGCCTCAACTTATCCTACCCCCTTTCTTCACTCCTTTCCTTAGAACCCAAGTACCCCTGGCTGCTCCCCTCATCCCTCCTCACCCACCAGGCTCCCCCTCAGTAGCACGAAGCATCCTGCCCCAAGGAGGGAAGAAGCCTGCTTGGTTTGGCATCTTGGCTCCTGGCATCCGTGTGCCGTATCCAGCTGCCACGTTCTTGTTGCTTCTCAGTTGATGTCCTCCTCACCATCTGTCTGTCCATCCTCCACGCTGAGCAAAACGCTACTGCAGCCTACAGGGAACGTCTGTACATAGTTGATCAGCCAAAAAAAAATCGTCATATGTTTAATAAATTGCTCTCTAAAAGTAACCTCTCCATCCCTACTTAGAAAATAGGATTGGGCACATAATGACTTGGAATATATTATTTTTAGCACTGTGGGCTGTGTTAGATCGACCGTTACATTTTATACTGAAAAAGAAAAATACTTTAAAACTTTATATGATGTAAGCCACGCATCCAAAATGTAGAAATTAAACATAATGGACATAAAATTAGACTTTTCTTGAAATCAGTCCTCTTCTGCTTTATTACTTTGCTCTTCTGCTTTTTTGTTTATATGCCCTTCACCCTTTCTGTCACCGTCACCCTCCAGAGTCTTCCAAACATTTGAAGCTTGTTTGCTATTTGCAACTTCACATTAAGGGTTCAGCTCCACCTCTAGAACTGGAAATAGTGTTTCCTAAACTGGGTTTGGCTTGATTTTTGTCTGGCAGCTGCCAAGCAGTTGCCCCTCCTGCCACTAGGGGGTGCTCTTATATGCATGAAACAGGTCAAGTTACCCTATTTGGGGGTAATTTTTTTAAAGCTTTAAGTAAATTAAAGATTCACTCATTTTCATTCTGAAAACTTACCACTGGTATACAGCTTCACTTCCAAAATATCCTGTCTCTGAAACCCTTTCCCATCCATAGCACCCTTCGTCACCCGGCAGCTCGAAGGCCATAAGGCCACACTCTTGTCTTGCATATCGCTGTTAGGTCTACACTGGTCTGTCACTGAATTTTTATATTCACATAAATTGAGATAGTGAATTACTGTGTGAACATGATACAAATTTTATGTTTAGAGTAAGATAATTTGAATTTTCTAGGAAACAGAAGCCCCAATTTCATGAAAAATCCACGGATAAGGGTTTGAGATAAAAATTTAATGAGGCAGCAGCACCATCATTTGTCTATTATGTGTCACTGAATGCCTTGTCCACTCTCCTCTGTCATCTTTTAAGTCCATTTTAGGTTAAAATGTGGCAGAGTCTGTAGTAGGTAAAGAAAACCCTATAGTCTATAGGCATTTTAAGGTGTCTTTTGCTAGGCCTGTGGCTCTGGAGGGAGGATAGTGGGGGTGTGTGTGATGCAGAGAAGTCGAGTGTCCTACACAGTGACAGCTGAGATGGTTAATCCCTGTGACCCTCTGGGGTGGGGGGGTGGGGGGGTCTTAGGAACAGACTTGGTGTGGCCTGGAGAAGAAAGAGATGCCTGGGGACCCAAATCCATCAGATTCTGTATGTTAAGTGAGCGGAAAGCTGAGTGCCTTTGGGCAAGTCCCTCAGCCTCTCTAGACCATAGTTTCTTCATCTGTGAAATGGGAGTTAGACCAGAGGATTTCAGAGGGACTGTTCTCATAGTCTGTAATTCTCTAAGACAGAATTTTCTATGCTGATGGGAATGTTCTGTTGGCTCAGGCTGTTAAGCGTCGGCCTTACACTTAGGTCATGATCTCAGGGTCCTGGGATAGAGCCCTGTGACAGGCTGCCTGCTTGGCCAGGAGTCTGCTTCTCCCTCTGCCCCTCCCACCCTGCTCATGCTCTCTCATTCTCTTGCTCTCTCTCTCTCAAATAAATAAAATCTTGGGGGCACCTCGGTGGCTCAGTCAGTTAAGCATCTGCCTTCAGTTCAGGTGATCATCTCAGGGTCCTGGGATAGAGCCCTGCATTGGCTTTCTGCCCAGCAGGGAGTCTGCTTCTCCCTCTCACTGTCCCTTTGTGTTCTCTCTCTCTCAAATAGATAAATAAAATCTTACAACAATGATAATTAACAAATAGATAAAAAAATAAATAACATATTTTAAAAAGAAAATTCTGTAACCATGCCGTCCAAAACTTGTGTGGCTCCTGAGCATTATTGAGATGTGACCGATAAAACCAAGGAACTTCCGATCTTCATTAAATGTAAATGGGCACGGGAGGACATATATTAGAGGGGGGAAATGTATAATCTCATTGTACGTAATTAATGGAGATCACAGGCAAATACTGCAAACTAGGATTAATGTAAATGTCTTAGAAATGGAACTTCAGTCCCATTTGGGGGAGGCTGGGTAGCCAAGAGTCCTACTGACACAGAGCTAACAGCAGGAATGAGATGAAAGGAAAAAGCTTTCAGAAGGGTTGGAGGCGTACATCTGAGTGAGCTTTGGTAATTAAGCCACCAGAGTAGCTGGGCACATTTCCCTGTCACCTTCAGAGGACCTGGGAAGGGAGCTGAGTTTTCAGCAGCTCCTGGATCCTCCCTGCCCTCCTGCATCCTCCCTGCCCTCCTGCACATTTTCCCCAAAACTAAAGGTGGTGATATTCAGGCTGGACAAGAGCAAGGGCAGCCCGTGGACCCCAGGTGTGCCAGAGCCCCGGCACTGACCTTTGGAGCTCTCCTAAGGTTGCAGGAATTCATGACAGCCCTGGGATGCCAGGCCCCGACCATCAGTGATGCTTGCTCTGCTAACATGTTAATCCAGTGAGTAAGATATCTCCTCCTTCCCCATAATGAAGGAGTATATCCGAGAACAATCCAGCACAAAGCTGCCTGACCCAGAAGTCATCCAGTTCTGTGTCTTCATCTTCAAATGCTCCAGGCTCCTGCTCACCAGATGGCGTCGATCAGCAGTTCTTAGAGGATTTCCACAGGGTGACCAAAGGGGGCTCCGCCGAGGACTGCAGCCAGTACTACTGTGACAAGGTGGGTGAGCTCAGGTTCCGTGGCTGCTGAGCGGCCCAGCCGGCGACCACCCAGGCTTCCCTGGGCCGAGGTGCCCCAGGGCAATTCAAGTAATGAGGACCAAAGGGAAACACCTCCTCACCACCCCTGAGAGCGAGAAGTAACATAATTAATCATGTCTGCCACATTTTCCAGAATGATCACGGTGATGGCTACTTAGTTTTGATCCGCATCACACCAGATGAAGATGGAAAATTTGGATTTAATCTGAAGGTACGTCATGTGTCTTCATAGGGATGCCGTCTTTAGATGGCTTTTCAGTTCCCATTGGGAGAGTGCTGCTTGCTGAAGTCTCCATGAGGACACTGGCTCGGGCCTCAGAACTGGGGAGTTTCTGACGTGGCCACAGCACTGCCTCAGCCCAGGAGCCTACGCTGTGCTCAGTGCTCTCCGTGCACTTCTTTCTGTCACCTCACCGAGGGTTTCTAATCGGTGAAGTGGGTATTTTTAGACCCGATTTATAAACGTGTACTGAGGCTCAGAGGGATGACGCACCGTTTGGCCAAGTCGATCTACCTCCAGAAGAGGGGTTTTCGAGGGAACCATGAGCATCACTAAAGCCAATGAGAGAGAAGAGCAGCGCAAGTTACAAGGCCATGTGCAGGGCCCTCCCCCACCTCCGCCTGCTTGGGCCCACAAGTCACACCCCATCTTTTTCTGCAAATAAAGTTTTATTCGCACATGGCCACACCCGTTCATTTACAAATGGTTTGCAGCTACCTTGACACTGGTGGCAGAGTTGAGCAGTTAGAACAGAGCCCTCTATCCCATACCTACTTACCCTCGGGCCCTATACAAAGTGGACAAAGCCCTGCTCTAGAGCAGAGCGAGGGCGGGTGATCTCCACTGCCCACCCCCACGGCTGCCACCGCGGACTCCCCTTCCTGTACCCCAGCACCCTGCTGAGGCCCTGCCCTCGCAGCACGTGACTTTTTCTACAGCTTCTGTCCCCGATGCTGAAAACTCCCCTTTCTAGCAACACTTCGAGGCTGTGCTTTTGGAGTCCTCAGGGGATGTTGCATTTTTAAAAAGGTGCGCGACCCTCTGAGCACATCTGTAGTTCATGCCATATGGGAACGGCAGTGAGAGACGTCTGAGCAGTCCTCTGGTTACCCCACTAGACCTTACGGGATCACAGAGCTTGTACTCCTGAAAGGATGCCAACCCCTGGGATGAGAATAGGTTAAAGCGAAGTCTGAGCCCTCCCCGTGTCAGCAACACCCGCGTGTCTTTGTTGCTATGAGCTATTCAAACGTTTTGTTTTTTAATTTAACGTGTTTGCAGGGAGGAGTGGACCAAAAGATGCCTCTTGTGGTATCGAGGATAAACCCGGAGTCACCTGTAAGTGAACACATTTCGTTCTTCCCTACGTTTGTTTTCTGCTAAATCTAACATTTCTATTTCCGTGTGCCGTTCCTTTCCCAGCAACAAAGAGTGTATGTCAGTGCGTGCATGGAGATGGAAAGAAAGAATGGAATCCATGTTTTTTTCCCGAAGTTTGCCGGTCAGTGTAGCACCAGCATCCCCTGAGAACTCACTAGAAATACAGAATCTCTGGCCCCACCCCAGACCTCCTAAACCAGAATTTGCATTTTTCATGGGATTCCCAGGAGATTGGTGGTGTGCCCATTAAAATTTAGAATCCCTCTCAAGGAAGGGAAATGGAGGCACAGAGTTTGTTGCTCTGCTCACTCTGCACATGGACCCACCATCCCACACCAGCACCCTGCCTCCTGCCCTCCGTCTTGGCCTCCTCAGGAGAGGGTTTGCTTTTCTAGAACAGTGAGCAGCCACACTGCATCTCCTTAGAAGGAACCCGGTTGGGGCTTTTACTCATACGTGGTCCTTAAGCCCATAGTTTCCTTTTTCTTACTGCCTGTGGTCTCTTCAAATTACAAGGCTTCTGTTCTACACTGTTCGGTGCTTTGCTTCTCTCCATGCTGGTTTCTGCCTTTGGTGTTACGCTGACAAAGGCTTTCTCCGTTGCAAGAGAGACAAACACTCACGTTTGGCTGACGAATCATTTCCTAACAGCACATCGAGAAAACCAGCTCAGAAGCCTCACAGTTACTACGTTACAGTAATAAGTGGAGGCTGGCTATCGTAGAGAAAAGGCTGCAGTAAGTCTCGTAGCTTTATTCTGAAACGCTGCAAGACTCATGTTGGGACCGTTGACAGTCCCACAACCCGCGACCGTGTCAGCATAGCACCGGATAGAAAAATAATGGCGCGGTCGTGCCCGAGGGAGAAGAGAACACGAACATGGTCTCAAGTGTCTGGGCTCCGAGGGCGTCCGCATCCTGCCCTTGAGGATTGTGTTATGGTAACCGAAGAAACTCGCTTTTCCTCTCCACCTAGGCGGACACCTGCATTCCTAAGCTGAACGAAGGGGATCAAATCGTGTTAATCAATGGCCGGGACATCTCGGAACACACCCATGACCAAGTGGTGATGTTCATCAAAGCCAGCCGGGAGTCCCACACGCGGGAGCTGGCCCTGGTGATCAGGAGGAAAGGTAAGAGCGGCCACGGGGAGGAGCCACGGGGCCTTAGAGAGGTGGGGGCCTATGTGGCCCGTTCCGTGGTTTTGAAAATGTTGAGCTCGTAGCCAGCATTGGAAAATCCAAGAACTTTCGCCTCCCAACCAGGATGTGGGACTTCTCACTTGAAAAATGTGAAGATCTGCCCACGCAGGGCCTAGCCCCTCGTGGCCAGCCCTCTGGAGGTAGGCAGCACCCACCCAGCCCCTTGATATGGAGCATGAGCCCTGATCCCTCCCGGCCAGCTCCCCTGCCCCGTGCCCCTCTCTCAGCTGCCTGGCCCCACAGACGTTTGCGTTTTTGGCCCCTTCACGAAGGGTCGGGTTCTGTCGAAGTCAGTAGAGCGGAAGGTCCCAGGGTGATCCTCCCTCCATCGCTACTGGGTGGAGGGGCCTCGAGCAAGTGTCGTGCCCAGTTCGTGCTCCTGTTCACTCTGATGTAGAGTAAGGGTGCGATAACCACCCTGTCACGGGGTTCTCGTGAAGACAGACTGATGCTTAGACTTGGAAAGCACCTAGAATGTTTCCTGATACCTGGCAGGCGTTTGAAGGACGGCTTCCCTTAAATACCATGACTGGTCTTGCTGCTGCTGTTGTAAAATAAGCCAAGCCCTTGAATCGTTCTGCCCAGATTTAAAATAAGGGCGATGAAGTGTGTGACTTAAGGCCCGGCCGCACACCTCTGTTCTGGCTGCACACCTCTGTTCTGGCCGCACAGTGTCTGTACGCCCAGCTCCCAGACCCCCACACACCTGCTTTCCCTCTGTCCCCATACATCTCTAAGCCCAGAGCTGGCCTGCATCCCTGAGGCCTCACTGGATCTCTCCAGATCCCTCCAGATCCCCAGCGCCCCACCCCCACCAACCGCATTGCCACGCCCAGCAAGGCTGATGTTCCTCTGCCTTAGTTGCTGATGTCAGCGCAGCCCTGGGCAGCTGGCCTTGCGCTGTGCTTATTGCTTTACATAACGCTCTTAGAAGGTCAGCATGGTATCCCTAACCCAGAGGGAGGGGGTGAGGAAACCAAGTCACAGGCTGGCTAAGTTGTCCTGCCGCCGTGAAGCCGGAAACAGGAATCCAGTGATGGGGAGTAGGCCCCCTCACAGGCTGCACTCCGGGACATGTGGGCCATCCTAGGGCCAGGAATAGAGTCTTCAGGCCTCCCTGGGAGGGGAGTCCTCTACCAGCCCATAGCAAGGGGCTGGCGCTGGTTGGAGAGGAGAAAAATGGATGCTTGTATACTATTAGAGCTAAAGGGCAGTGCCATGGACTGTCTAGAACTAATGATTGTTTCGTTTATTTTTATTTTATTTTATTTTATTTTTTGAAGGATGGAGGAAGAGGGACTGGTTGAAATTATGGGGCCAAAAATGGCTAAAGCCCCCAAGTCCATCCTTGGCTTCTAGTGAGCCCACCCTCACTAGAAGGTGGAAACAGGCTGAAGTTTGAAACAGCCTTTTTTTTTTTTTTAAGATTTTTATTCATTCATTTGACAGACAGAGATCACAAGTAGGCAGAGAGGCAGGCTCCCTGCTGAGCAGAGAGCCAGATGCAGGGCTCGATCTCAGGACTCTGGGATCATGACCTGAGCTGAAGGCAGAGGCTTTAACCCACTGAGCCACCCAGGTGCCCTAATCATTTCATTTTTAAAATAAACATTTAAGTAAAAACAAATTGACTGGAAGAAAAATAAGTCAACAGCATAGGGAGTAGCAGACATAACAAATCATATTATCTTCAGCAGAAGAAATGTGCTTCCAGGGTCTGTGGAAAGAATGTGGTCTTTTGGATCAGAGACCCGTGGACTGACCGGACTCCTATGTGTTCCCCCCGCCCCTCCAATGGTCCGGGTCACTTCAGAACTTTAGACAGCTTCTTCACCCTGATAGTCCATTTCCCTATCTGTAAAATGGGGACAGTGGTAGCTAGTTCAGGATTCAGTTCAACTATTTGGGGGAAATGCCATGGTGGTGATTTTCCTTCTCCTTTCTGGTTGTCCAGAAGGCAGTGGGGAGCCATTGAAGGCTTTTTCTTTTCTTTTCTTTTCTTTTTTTTAAGATTTATTTATTTATTTGACAGACAGAGATCACAAGCAGGCAGAGAGGCAGGTAGAGAGAGAGGAGGAAACAGGCTCCCTGCTAAGCAGAGAGCCTGATGTGGGGCTCGATCCCAGGACCCTGGGATTATGACCTGAGCCAAAGGCAGAGGCTTTAACCCACTGAGCCACCCAGGTGCCCCCCACTGAAGGCTTTTGAGTAAGAGAGTAACTTCCCTTCCTGGGTAGAAGGGGAAAATTCAGAGATGATCCCAAAGTTTCCAGTTTGGGAGATGGGAGAAGAATGCGGCAGTGGACAGAAAGAGGCATGTGAGACTGGAGAGGAAGTTAGTGCAGGGCAGGGATGGGGAGATCCCAGGTTTGTCTTTACCCAAGGAGTCTGACGTGAAGGCAGAATCCGTACTGATGAGGTAGGACTGAACCCAGAGGAGGTGTTAGGACTTGATACATATATTTGGGAACCTCCCACCTAAAGATGGCCTTGAGGGAGAGGCTGACTGGGCTCTGGGGAACAATGCAGTCATAGAGTGCCCATGAAAAATACTTGTGTTAAGGGAGCAAATGAAAGGGACCTGAGAGGGATGCCTGGGTGGCTCAGTTGGTTGGGCAGCTGCCTTCAGCTCAGGTCCCAGAGTCCCGGGATCGAGTCCCGCATCGGGCTCCCAGGTCCACGGGGAGTCTGCTTCTCCCTCTGACCTTGCTCATGTTCTCTCTCTCAAATAAATAAGTAAAATCTTTAAAAAAAAAAAAAAAAAAGAAAGAAAGAAAGAAGGAAAGGGACCTGAGAGAGAGGTAGGGGAGGGGAGACAGTTGGGTAGAAGAATAACCAGGTCAGAGAGAGCAAAGTTGGAGGAAGTTAGGTTTCCTTAAAAATATTCTTTCACTCTCTCCCACCTTAGTCAAAAGACTCTGAGTACAAAACACCGTCATTTAAAACTAACCAGAAAGATTAGTATGTCATTTTGTATAATTAGCACTTACTGAATCATTCAAGAAGTAGTGTCTTTGGTGAAAGTGATTACCATGAGCTTAATCGTTTAATAAGCTGTTTTAAACCATCTGCGTGCAGGTGCCGTAAGTACAATTTTTTTTTTTTTTTTTTGAGGAAACAGATCAACCAGAACGTTCCTACCCCTGCCAGACACACTCTTTTTCTTGTTCACTACAGCAGTGCACTCGTTCACAGACATCAAATCCGAAGATGAACTAAACCAGCTTTTCCCTGAGGCCATTTTCCCCATTTGTCCAGAGGGTGGGGACACCTTGGAGGGATCCATGGAACAGCTAAAGAAGGGCCTTGAAAGCGGGACAGTGCTGATCCAGTTTGAGGTAAGAGACCTCGAGGGCCATGTCTTCAGCCTGTGGGGAGGCCACAGCAGTCTCAGTGGGCTGCTCAGTGGCTGCCGCGTGACCCCAGGCACCAGGGAGCCCCTGCTCATCGTGGGAACACGGTGGGGGTTCAGAGCATAGGGCACTGGGCCTGGAGAGCTGGGGATGGGACCACAGCCTGTGCTGAACTCTGCCTCACCCTCTTACCTAGTAATGCTCGGTCGTCATGGAGAAACATGTCACATCAAGGAGGAGGGACTCTGAGCATATTTAGCTGCCAACACAAAAGCTCAAATCGCTCAGCAGTAGAAGGTGCTGGAAAGGCAGTGTGGGTGAGCCCAAAGGGTGGTGGAGCCAGTGCCTGACCCCACCAGGCACTGTCTGTAGTTTGGAGCGGGTCACGTCATCCTGTGAGGGCAGAGTGGCTGGCCTGCCCAGGTCCCCTGGAACTGTGTGACCAGGAGTAGAATCCAGAGTCGGACCCTATTTTCCTTCCCCAGGAGGGGACTCTGACCACAGAATTGAGACTGACAGAGGCACAGGCAGGGCCCTCGCAGAAGGAAGCAGGAACAAAGGAGGTTCAGTTTTTAAGTCCATTGTATTGATCACGAACAGTGAATGGAGTGTTTATCTTCCAAATGTTTTCAAGGTAGAAGTGTAGTTCATACAATAAAAGATAACAGAAGAGCTCAAAGAAGCCTAACGTAAACTGTTAGAATAGATTGTGATTAACGACAGCATACGCAGTCCGGATTCATAAGTCCGGAAGGAGTCTGGATTCGATTCAGAAGCACAAGTCAGCTGGGCCGTTTTTCACTGGAAAGCTATAGGAAGAGAAAAGTCATAGAAGCAAAACTAAGAAGTTTGTCAAATACACGTGGTCACATATTGATTCAGAAGAGTATGAATGATGCAAATATTAAATAGGAAATACTATAAAGCAGAGAATCTTAAGTGAAAGAAAGGTTTATAATGGCGTCAGGAATAGAATGGAAATAATAATATTAGAGCAATGCGTATCTGAACAACAGTAGAAAGTATAAGAACCCACGAGTAAAAGGTGAAGGGAATTAACCCCACCCCAGAAAAAGCAAAAAATAACTTCATAACTTGCGGAGATGAAATCGGGTTAAGACTGGAGGAATAATATGATAACTTGGTAGGACTGATAGACATATACTGAATATCTACGAAGAGAAATAGCCCTTTTTTCCAGTGTCCTGCAGGAGGCTGTGTTGACTTAAGTTTGAAGGAAGAAAACGAAAGTGTTGTGTTCTCCGGCCTTGCAGTGCAAAAAGTTCAAAACTGAGATATACATTTTAAACACTGTAAAGCTCAACACTTTTAAACACTCTGCTGAGTAATTGAAACAAGGAGAGGGTTAAGAGCGAGTTACATAATATGACTAAGTGTTTGGCATTGGAGGGGATGGGAAAGGCAGGAAGGCACTATGGAGACACCAGTTCAGTAGTGTGTATTGGGTATTTACCGTGTGCTGAGGTCAGGAACATAAGGAGGGAAAGAGAGGATTTCTGGCCCCAACCAGCTAACAGTCTAATACTGGTATATTGGGGGGATGTATCATGAGACCCAGAAAGAGCTGAAGACCAAGGTAGGGGGGCGCCTGGGTGGCTCCATCAGTTAAGTGTCTGCCTTCCGCTCAGGTCGTGGTCCCAGGGTCCTAGGATTAAGCCAAGCATTGCCCCCCTCCCCTCTGCTCAGCGGGGAGCCTGCTTCTCCCTTCCCCTCTGCCTGCTGCTCGCCTACTTGTGTGCTCTCGTGCGCTCTTCTCTCTCTCTCTCTCTGGCTATGTCAAATAAAGAAATAATCTTTAAAAGAATAAATAAGAAAGACCAAGGTAGGGCAAGACTTCCTTTCGTGGTAGTCCTATGTTCCACAGGAAATGAATGTGGGAGGTTCCAGGAGCTCCTCTGGGGTAAGATGTATTAACAAGATGGATGGGATTAAGTGCAGAGGGAAGGTCGTTCCAGGAAGGTCACAGTCCGAATGCAGACTAAGCCCCTAAGGTGTCAGGTAGCACGGGGAAACACGCCTACCTGGGTTGAGCAATGCCCCAAGGAGTCCTGGGAGAGCCTCTGGGTGTCGAGAGTCCTTCCATCGCACACTGTTTGTCCTTGATCACATTGTCCACAAGGAGGCACTGTGGCCTCTCGAAGAGGGAAAGAGCTTGACTGTGGTCTTACACAGTGCTCCCGAAAACCCCCTCCACTCAGCGGGCTCCACTTCCATTTCCCATGTGGGAATCCCACATAAGATTTTCCTTGAACACTGTCCACTGAACTTCACCAAGAAGCTTAAAAATACTTGAGAGAGGAGCGCCTACTATCCCCTGTGGCTCTGAGCAGCGTCTCTCAGAGGGTGGCCACCTGTATGGGTAGGAGCCTGTGAAAAGGGGCGCAGCCCACAGCTGCTGGGTGAGCCACCCTGGGACAGGCCTGGCTGTGCGCCCGCCTCACAGGATGGGCGGGAGGTTCTGATCCAGGGGACCGCAGCATGAGGAATGGAGAACACAGAAATGCTAGTGTTAAATTTTAGTATGCGCACGTTTCGTTTAGTCTGTACATTTCCTAGAGATGGAGTAGGAAAACCCTCTTCTTAACCACGATCGTTTGCAGAAGAGACAACAGCAGAGCCGCTGTGTGCTGGAGCAAGTGCGGCACCTGGAGCCCTGCTTCCCCAGTGTCCCCGCATAGGTCCCAAGGAGCCCAAGAGTGTGGAACGTAATGTAACGACCCCTGCTACAGAATGGGGAGGATGTCCCCCCCACCCCCGCTGCTAGAGGGAACCGGTGCTCAGGGAAGCCAGGTCAGACAGGAGACTCGCACAAAGGGAAACCCCGAATTTAGCTCGTAGTCTGAGTCCAGTGCTTCATGGGCACTGCCTCACAGAACTGTTGTCCCTGCTGTATGGAGGACGATCAGAGTCCCAGAGAGCTTGTTGCACCGTAAATGGTTCCGCCCGATTGGAACCAGACAGGCTAACTCAGAAGCTTGCTCTCTTAACAAGTGTACCACTTCTGGAAACAACCAAGTGCTGTTTACGTGTGGGAGTTGTTGTTAGAATAGTACAGCATCAGAACTAGAAAAGATCTGAGAAGCAATCTCACCACACAGAGCCAGGCTTTAAGTCCTGACTCTGTCCCTCGCTTCCTGTGTGACCCCAGGCAGCCTGTCCGTTTCACCTCTCTGTACCCTCCACTTCCCCGTCTGTAAATTGGGTATCTCATGGGTCAATTGTAAGGGTTAGATGAGATAAATACTCAGTGTGTTGTTTAGCATATGATAAGAATGCCATAAAGAGTAACAACTATAATTATTTATTTAAAAAAAAAAACAGGCTGTCTCCATACAAGAAGTGGTCATGTCTGCTGGGTTTGGAACCCTGAGCTGTCCAACTCCAGAATCTTGGCTGTTCTGGTTTTCCACCTGCCCCGTGGTGTCATTGGCAGATGACAGAGTGTCTGATGGGGGCTGTGCTCTGGACAGGAGCAGAAAGAGGGAGCTGGCCCCTAACAGGTGCCCATGCCACCCACTCCCCAATGCCAAGGGCCCGCCTTGGGGTGGCTGGGCCGTAGATGGAATCCTCCTGTGATGGCTAGCTGGTTTTCAGCAAAGCCTGTTTTGAAGCATTTTTTTCACCAGGGGAGTTCCCTGTCCCTCCCGTGGCTTTTGGTAAACAATTACTAATGTGTTCCAGAAAGCGTTTGGTCCCAGCTGTAATAAGATCACGCTTAATAATTATTAGCATTTCAGTAGCACTTTGGAATCTGCCAAGTATGTTTCACATATGTTGTCTCTGTTGATTCTCACAACTTGAGGAGGGCGCCTTTTTAGGTGGAGAGAACAAGGCTGGGGGTTGGGGACTTGCCTTGTGTTAAGTCGCTGGTCGGATCGAGGTTGGATCCGAATCTGTGTGGAAGTCTAGTCAGTGTCAGAACTCACGGTTGCCGGGTGCCCCCCAGCTCCTCACCAGCCTCCAGCCTGAGCCCCTCCCTCCAGCCGCTGCCCCGCAGGAGCTACCCCGAGTGAGCACATTGGTATTAAACTGCCTGAGTACACTGCCTGGTTCAGCCGAGGTTGGGCGTCTCTGTCTCACGTCAAGGAGAAGATTTGGGGTTTGCATGGCTCCAAGTCTTACCATCTCCAGGATGCTCTTTTGTTAAGGAACTCATTAAGTCTGCCCCAGGTTCATTCCTTCCTAAAGGAAACCCGTGGCTCACTTCATGCCTTCCCTGAGTTGACCCTTTCTATTTAAGCAAGGGAAGGGGTGTCCTTTGAGAACCAGCTTTCCCAGTAAAGGACCATTATGCTTGTCTCCATCCAGTGACCAGGTGGCTTGCAACTTCCCTGCCTCCTTGTCCAGTGAAGATGTCTGCAGAGACTTTCGGAGTGGGGTCGATAGGAAATGCACTTTCCTTCTCCCTCTCTGCACGGATATGAGCAGAGGCTAAAGGACTCCACCAGAGACCACGTCCTGCTCAGAAACCCCCGCCCCTCCCCCTTCAATGTCTTCCTCCTTTACAAAACCAGAAGCCTGCCTTTTTCTCTCTTCTGACCCATTTTCCCTAAAGTCCCTCCTACATCACCCTTGTAGGAAACATCCATCGGTATCAAAACAAGTGACTCACTGGCTCCTGTGATTACTATGAAGGTTGATCTGGAAGGACTGAGATAGCTGAAGACTTAATGAGAGGCTTAAATAGACACACGTAGAAATTAGTGAAGGCGATTATACCTTCAGGCTTAGAATTCATACCTTAAAAAAAAAAAGCATTTAAGAATCTTCCCGGATTTTTTTTTCTTCAAGGAAAACATTCTGTAATGTGTGGGATCCCAGGAGCAAGTGTGAGGGCTTGACATTTCAAGTTCTGGAAGCCCATTTTAAAAGCGGGGCCACCTCGGCTCCCTGTCTTGTATTTACCTGTGAAACGGACTCGAAAGCATACTTAATCCTAGCCATGGGATCTGCTTCAAGTAGCA